TTGTTTGTGTCTAATCCCCAGAAATCTTTGCCATTCTTGATCAATGTAATTAGTAGATTCTCTAATATTTCATACTATAAGGTTAACTGGGAAAAATTGGAGGCTCTGCCTTTAACTGCCTATTGCCCCCAGTCTCTTTTTAACTTTAGGAATTTCACTTGCCCCAAAAAGGGCATGAACTATCTTGGTACCAGCATTGAACCTCTGCTAGATAGATTTAAATCTAATATTGAACACTGGGCCTCACTCTCCCTTTCTTTATGGGGAAAATTAAATACTACTAAAATGAATATAATCCCAAAATTCAAATAACTGCTTCTAACATCGCCAGTTAAGATTCCTCTTAAGTATTTCGACTAATTTGACAAACTCTGTAGTATATTTCTATGGAAAGGTAAACGGCCAAGAATTTGCTTAAAAAAGCTCCAAAGGCCTGTTCACAGGGGAGGCATAGGTCTCCTTGAAAACCTTGTCACTCCTTCAGTTTAACCCATACCTCTGATGGAATATGGTATAATCCCAGACTACTTATAGGTAAATTCCCATTCTTTTGGAAAAAATGGTTTCCAAGAGGCATTAAAACAATAGGTGATCTATACTGCAGTGACTCACTCCTTTGACTGTCTTAAACAACAGTTTAATCTACCTCAAAACCAATTGTGGAGATTTTGTCAGATAAGACATCTATTGAAGCAAACCTTTGGCTGTTTGTCAGTATGTCCTACTAAGGCAGTTATGAAACACTTTGGTCAAGGCCATGAGGCTGCTAGGTATTATACCTTTCTTAACTCATTCCTTAACCTTAAAGAGTCCTCTCTTAAGACGATCTGGGAAACAGATCTTAATGCCTCTTTTACCCAAACAGAGTGGGATAGGATTCTGAGGCTCCAGAGAGCTTAAGACATGACTCATTCAGTTTAAAATCATAAACAGAGCATACTGAAGTTTGCAAGATGGCACTTTGATGCACATTATGTGGGAGTGCCCTAATACACAGGTATTCTGGTCTGATATCCAATACTATATTAAGAAAATTCTAGGCAAACACATTCAGATCTTGCCCTCTGCTCTGTCTGATCTAGAGCCCTCTGAGTCCAACTGGACTCAGACTGCCTTAATGCTAGGCTGTAAATTGATAGAGAGGAGGGCCTCTATAGCACCATCTTCATCTCACTGGTACACAGAAATGCGCAGCTTGGCTGCATTGGAAAATCTATCGTTTAGGCTTCAGAACAGTTTGGAGATGTTTCACTCTAAATGGAGAAAATACTTGTCTTATCTAAATGCAGGAGCACGACAGTGGATCTGGATATCAATTAGGTACTACTCTTTGTGTTTTTTCCCCTTTTTTACTACATAACTGTCAATTTGTTTTAAATGAAAACACTCTGTGCCTTCCTCCTTTTTTCCTTCCTATGTTATACCTGTTTCAAAACTCAATTAAAAGTTTGCAAAAAAAATAATACAGAATACAAATTCAGATACTGGGTAAGTCCCTAGTAGCAGGAACACTGGGACACTGAGGACTCAATTACATGTGACAAAGATGCAGAGATGGTCTGTAAGAACATATTACTAACAACATGGACTGAGCAGCTCACTCACTATGTTGTGCTTAGCCATATTGTCTATTTTAGATGGATTATTCCAGTCATTTCATCAACGTTCTCATGTTGTTTACACTAAAACTTAAAACTTTTAAAAAAACTAAAACTTTTAGGTTAACCTAAGTCAAGGTTTTCCAAACACTGGGCCACCAAAAGTAGGCTGCAAATCTTGGGCCAATATTGAGGGGAGTCAGTTGTTCATAAGGAGCAGTGATAGCACTTTCTCATGAAAATCAGTGAAAAAATAATTGACTTAGGAATAAAAAATATATCAAATGTTTTTAAATGCTAAATAATTTTAGTCCAACTATGGTACACAAATTGTCATCAATTTTTGCCCCTTGCCTCTAAAAACAAAATATACTCCCTCTGACATTTTGCTTGTCTACTTGTGAGTGGCTGCTGTAAAATAAAAATTTGTTGTACGACATTTCACATTATTTGCCACTATTCTGTTCATATATTTATTCTTTGATATGCTGATAGTCACTCAAACATAGCTATGTTGGAAATTTCCTAAAAATGAAATTTTAAGCAAAATATTTATTTGTTTTCCTGTTGTTTTCATGCTTTCTATAGGTGGGCCTACTGGACCAGTACTGTTAATGATTAAGAAACCTACTGACTCAAAGTCGGTATCACTCTCCTTACCATTGCAGTTTAGTTCTAGACATTATGTTGTGAAACAACTAATCCAAAATAATCCACTGCAACATCTTGCGAGAGTATGGTGAATTTACTCTGCATGGCCTCTATATACATACTCTACCATACATAAGTATGTGGACACTGCATCTAATTGTTGAGTTCAGGTGTTTCAGCCACCACAACCATTGCTCACAGGTGTATAAAATCAAGCACATTGCCATCTTATAGACACTGCAATCTCCATAGACAACATTGCAATCTCCATAGACAAACATGGGTCATACTGAAGAGCTCAGTGACTTCAAATGGCATTGTCACAGGATGCCACATGGGCTACAAAAGTCAGTTCATGTAATTTCTGCCCTGCTAGATCTGCCCTATTCAACTCTTTCAGTGCTATTATTGTGAAATTGAAGTGTTATGGAGAAACAACAACTCAATCACGAAGCAATAGACCATGCAACTCACAGAGCAGAGCCGCAGAGTGCTGAAGCAAGTACTGTGCAAAAATCACCTTTTCTCTACACTCACTACAGAGTTCCAAACTGCCTCTGGAAGCAATGTTGATGCGTCAGCAGCTTCATGAAATGGGATTCCTTGGCCAAGCAGCTGCACCCATGCCTAAGATTACTTTGCACAATGCCAAGCATTGGCTACAGAATGCCACCACCAGGTATACGCAGGTATAGCATGCCGCCACCAACCTATGGAGCACTGGAAACATGTACTCTTGAGGGATGAATCACACATAGAATAGAATAGAATGCCTTTCTTGTCATTTTATAAAATATACAACAAAATTAAGAACACTACTCCTCAACAGTGCAAACCAAGACAGACAGAAACAAACGAAGAAATTTTATTTATAAATAAATAATTAAATAAATAATTCTAAGCTCAACAGGTGGCAGCAGTCTGCAAATATTATGTGCTTATTCCAGTGTTACTGCTTTTAGAACATAGTATGTGTGGAATTTAGAGTTTCGATGGCCCAGGGAAAGAAACCACACTAAAATCTGTTTGTCTGGCTCTTAATGCACCTGTACTGTCTGGCCAGACAGCAGGAGATTGAAAAGTTGGTGACCAGGATGGTAAGGGTCCTTGGTTATTTTCCTGGCTCTGCTGAGGCACCGGGAGCTGGAGATGTCTTCCAGAGATGGCAGAGGGCAGTCAATTATTTTTTTGAGCACTATTTATGACCTTCTGTAGGGTTTTCATAACATTGTGACATACATATATGCATAATCCTCCTCCTCTGCTCTTACCGGAGTCTCTGTTCCTGTCTTGGCGAGGGGTAGTGCAGCCTGTCAGCTGTACTACAGCATCAGAGATCAACGGATTTAACCAGGTTTCTGATATGATCATCACACAACACTCACAAACATAAAAGTTTGCTGCTATTTGTAGCTGTAGTTTGTCTGTTTTGTGCATGATGGATCAGGCATTGGTGAGGAAGATACTTGGTAATGGGGGCTTGTGTGGCTGTTTCCTTAGTCTAGCTAGTAGGCCTGCTTGGCATCCTCGCTTTTGCTTCCGCTCCCTCCTCCGACTGCGCCATCTCCCCAACCCAGTTACAATCCAGGTAGAGCCGGGGGGCATTGCTGTGTCCTGTAGTATGTTAAGTCTGCTGAAAGTGGATTGTCTGTTGTCGATGTGACATTTATATACAATGTTAATCAGCTCCTTGGTTCCTTGGTTCCAGTGATAGGTGATGTTAATGCTACAGCATACAAAGATATTTTAGAAAGCTAAATGCTTCCAACTTTGTGGCAAGAGTTGGGGAAGGCAGGGCCCCTGTGCACAAAGAATGGTCGATAAAGAGTTTGGTGTGGAGTAAATCCAGTGGCCTATACAGAGTCCTGACCCCAACCCCACTGAACACCTTTGCGATGAACTGGAATTGTGAGCCAGACCTTATTGTTCAACATCAATGCCTGACCTCACAAATGCTCTTTTGACCAGGCACCAATTCCCACAGACAAACATATAATAATAATCATAAAGACAAATAATAATAATAATCATCATCATCATTTTTATTTATATAGCACTGATGGCAGCACAAACTGCTTTACACACAGGTGATAAAGTTTAACAATAATACAAGCAATTATAAGTATTAATTTAGAATCATTTAAGAAAAGTTAAAGATACGTTTTAGGCGCTTCTTAAAAGTGAGCGCTGAGCTTGACTGTGTAATAAAAGATGGAATTGAGTTCCACAGTTTAGAAGCATAATAACTGAGCGAGGCCTCTCCATGTTTTCTGTATTTTACAGAAGGTATTTGCAGAAGGCCAGTATCTTTAGATCTAAGATCACATGTTGGAACATAAACAGACAGACACTCTGTGATGTAAGAGGGTGCTTTAAGGTCATTTAGAGCCTTAAAAACTAGCAACAGAACTTTAAAATCTATCCTGAACGATACAGATAGCCAAATGGGAGTGATGTGATCTCTCTTTTTTGTTTTTGTTAGGATGCGCACTGCTGCATTATGTACGAGTTGTAAAGGATGTATTGTTACAACAAACTACAAAATCTTGTCTTCCCAGAAGAGTGGAGATAATAGCTGTAAAAGGAGACCAACTATATATTAATTTGTGATGTCTAATTAAATATAATTACATTGGTTATACTGTAAATTGCAGTAGAATCAGATGGATGGGGACTATCTTGACAAAAAATACTGGAATACTTTGTGACTTACAAGCTCTACACTGAAAGTGAAAACAGCTGAGCTAAATGTTTCACTTCCTCAGACTCCATTTTGTTCAACAGCAGCAGAAACACCGATAATGGCATTCAAGGTAAAAACAGATGTTTTGTTCTTTAAACATTGGTGAAAACAGGGTGGAAAACTATGTCTAATCAGCTACTACTGAAGTTAGACTTCTTTCCGTTGAGTTTTTTTTGTTGTTGTTGTTGTTATTTTGTCTGTTTTACACACTTGGAATTCTGAACAGCTGGGTTTATTTCTTGTTACGAGAAGTCAAGGTCTGTGATTGAAAGCAGAAGTTTGGAGTTTTAACAGGTTGTTCAAACAAGAACCTTTTATATTGGTGCTTACAGAATATGTGCTTACAGGATCTTTTAGGAAGCTACGGTTGTTAGGAACATGGGCGTTTCATCCATGATGGGTACTCTACTTGTTACCACTAGCAAAACAGAATAAATAAAGAATAAATAACCAGACTGAAATATATAACTATTTATCTACTACATATATAAATAGGTTTTGTTTGATACATGTCTGTGAAATTGAGTGGAGTGTCAAAACATTAATGCCAGTTTATAAATCATTTACAACAGCTAAAAACTGGTGCTGTAGTTTCTGTTTGTGCTGCAGAGTGGCAGTCACAGAGCAACCCCTGTCGATTCCAAACTCTTTGTCTTTGCCTTTGTGTAAGCCAATTAAGAGGGCAGGGAATTAGTGCTAACATTTTTTACGGTCTCCCAAGTTCTAAGTATTAACTGGACAAGTGTGAGGTACAAATTTCAAAGTTCTAGGTAATTAATTTGGGTAATATGATGGTAAGACAGGAAAGACAGTTTAATTACATTAGACACTGAAATACCCAACAGGTTCTAGATATTAACTGGCTGACTGTTAAGCAAATAAAGAACATAATAAAATGTCTCACATTTGGATGATTATGTGGGGTACAAACAAACTCTAAACTTTACTGAAATGACTGTAAAAGAAAGTAATGATAATTTTTGTAGTTTTACTGGGTCCTTACCATTTACTTTATTTTTCCATTTTACTTTCCAGCCTGTGACATGACATTGCTTTGACATTTACTGCAAGTTTGTTTTTTTGTTTCCTTTTTTTTTTTACGTTTTTACTCCAAATAATTTCTCAATTTATGAGATATTTTACTATGCCCTTTAATAGCCAGAAACAACTTTGTATTTCAGAGTAAAACAGTTAGACTGTTAGACCAGTACAGTACTTTGAAAACTAGTTCAGGGCACTAAAGAAAATACCCTTGACCAATTGAGGTAACATTCACACACAGCTTCAAAATGATTGGCCACAATTTCTTCAGTGAAAAGCTTCAGGCACTTGGTTTCATAAACAAGGTTAATATGACATTGGCAGTGTTCAAAATAGCATACTGTGTACTGTATACTGCACTAGTATTATTAGTACTAGTACCTTGCTACCCTTCATCATTAGTATTAGACAGTATCCTGTACGTGACAAAGCTGTGTGCCGTACTACAGGACAGGGGTGCGACTAGGCTGCCTACATTAGGCACTGAGCCAATCAGACCATCAAGACCCGTCCCATTTTCCTTAACCTTCCAATCTCTGCTTATCAATGATTACTAGCTGCCTTTAGCATGGATGTTTATATTTTGGTGATGAGATTGCCCTGTGTGTCTTTTAAGGTACATCCTATACAGCAGCATTTCCCAATAAGCGGCTCTGTTAGCCGACTGCCAAGACATAGGCACGCATATGTGCGTTACTGGTGCCAAAAAGAACAAAACAAACCAGAACGTCGTAGCGATTTACCAAGCTCACTCTATGGACACAGTGCATGTAGGTTGTGTTTGTACAAAAACCATGGCCAGTGCTAAAAAATGAAAACTTGATAATGAAAATAGACAATTCAGTTCTGTCTGGACAGCCCAATTTGTTTTATTTTACCAAACCATAGTCATGCTAAGCCAACTTGTTTGCTTTGCTCTCGAAACACACCATTGCAGCTTCAATCACAACTTCCCTGCAAAGTCTGGAGTCGAAAGCAAAAGACTGCAAATTTGCTTGCCTTCTACAATCATTCTGTTACCACCATCCACAAAACTACATCTGCAAGAGAACATAACAGCAGTGTCTCTGTATATGTCCTGGGACTTAGCAAAAGCTAAAACACCTTTCACAGATGCTAATTTGATAAAGATGCGTGCATTTGATATGGTGGAAGAAGTTTTAAGTCATGACGATAAAACAAGAGCAAGACTTGTTGAGGTAGGTGCCACTATCGGACAACACTGCAGTGAGAAGAGCAGAAGTTTGAGCAGAAGACTGCCTGTCTGCTCTGCTCTCTGACTTAAAGAAAGTTGATTTTATGTCACTCAACATTGACACATCTGGTGATAGAACGGACATAGAACAGCTATCTGTGTTCATGAGATTTTTTGACAGGATACCTTAACGGGAAGAACTGGTTTATTTGCTCCCCATTTAAGGATGCACAACTGGTAAAATCATTTTTAATAAACTGACCAAGTTCTTTAAGAAAAATGGCTTGGATTTGGAGAAAGTCATGTCTGTCATCACTGATGATGCTCCATCCATGGTAGGACAACACAAAGGCCTGGTAAGCAAGTTAGTTGCTGTTAACACTGTGCTGACAACATTTTACTGTATCATTCACAATTCAGTGTTGTGTGCCAAACTGTGCGGGAAAATGAAGGACATTTACTTAAATTTGCAGCATTGCCTCTTCAGAGCTCTGCTGGAGGAAATGTCAGTAGAGCATCATGATCTATTGATGCACAATGACGTGCGCTGGCTTAGCAAGGGCCGAGTGTTGGAGAGAGTGTGTGAATTACAAGATGAACTTTGTTCTTATCTTGGTAACTTGCAAAGCTAAAAGGCTCACATCTTTCTAAATTTTCTGAATGACAACAAAGAAGTGGCATGTAAGCATTTTTATGTGACATAATGTCTCACCTAAATCTGCTGAATTTGCTATTGCAAGGCAAGAAGCCTACTGTTGCGGAGATATACTAAGCAGTTGAAGCTTTCCGCTTAAAGTTTGTCATTGTTGGAATGAGATCTACAAAGAAGAAAGCTGCACTTTCCAAATCTGCAGCAACACAGTGAGAAAAAAAAGGCTCAATGATGTGTGTGCATAATGTTAATGATGAGACTGCTAGAGAATCTCAAGGAATGATTTGATAGCTTCCAGCTCTCAAGTGAAATCCTCCTGTTCTTGTGACAGCCGTTCTCCATTTCTGCAGACGACCAGTCGACTGCTGAGGCCAAAAGTTTACTTCTATCTCTTGATGAAGCATCTTTTCTATTGGAGATCTTAGAAATGTCAAAATCAGATTTGCTCGAACAGCAGCACAAGCATGATAGTGTGAGTGAGTTCTAGATTAATATGGTTCCTGAATTCAGACAAATAAGAATGATTGCAATGCTTCGCATCACTACAACAGAGCACTATCCCAACTTCAGGTCTCTTGTTTCAACCTGCTGCTGTCATGCTGTCATTGTGAGTAAAATCAAATAACTTTAGTTAGGCCTACCTAATTACATACACTTAATAATGATAATAATAATAATAATAGTGATAATAATAGGACTTCTGCAATAAAAACTATATACCATACTGTATCAAACAGTATGAGAATGACACACTGTCCCTTGCCTTTGTGATGTTGGATGAATGTGGCCCTTGATGAAAAGTAATTAAGGAACCCTGCCATACAGTGATAGTGGGCAGGACGGTGTTTTGACTCATCTCCAAAGCCACTAATAAATTTTTAAATTGTCAGCTTCGGATTGATCTTTGTGACAAACGTGTGGTTTCCAAACACACCCATTTTCCTCCGTTTTGAGTAATTTCATTTTGATTACACTCATAGTTGGTAATATGAGTTAGTTTGACTGACTAATAAGCAGTGTGTCTCCACACAGAAGCCTGAATAGCCAATGCTAAGCGAATTGTTTGATTGAGACCAACTTTATTAAGTTACTATTTTAACCATGTTATATAAATTACACAGTAAGTTGGTTAATTTTATTAAATTAGATGAAGTAAGCAAACCCACCACAAGACCAGCAGAGAGAGCTGGTACGGCTTCAGTGTTGCACCGGGTGCAGCAGCGTTTGGACAAATTTCTTTCATTTTGCCATTTTCAATGCATAGAAAGTCTGAGTTCAGAGCTATAAAAAATATCCAGGTGGTTACTTCAGTTGTTATGTCTTCCTGAAATGACAGCGTTGCATTTTGGGATGCAGTATATCATGGAGCGAGCTCTGTCCACGTACTAGAACATTTTGCCGGAGCAGTACATCACCTGAGTATCTTTGGTGTACTATAGAAATTTGTGTTGGTCACATACTGTATACTACTACTACTTTTGAGCACAAGCAGTATGCGAGCAGTATGTAGTAGGCTATTTTTAAACACACCCATTATCTGTTGATACAGCTGTGCTGCTAATTTTAAATCCAATTCAGAGTGCTAGTGTTGAGAAATTAAATGTTAAGTGGGCTGAGTTCATGGAAAAAGACTAGTTCGGATGAGTATCCAAAGGGGTTTTATGATTTTATATTCTAGTATTTTTATCTTGCCAGCCTAGTAAGTTTATTTATGTTGTACGTATACCATCTCTGTGGCTAAAGTTCTATATACATTTTTTCAAAATGTCATTTAGCTTTTATTATGTTATTTTTCAAGAAAATATGTATTCTGTATTTTTGTTAAATCTTGTGCTGATTGTGTGTTTGAACTGGCTTGTTGTGATAGGGTTTGTCTTGTGCTGTTTTTGTCTAGGTTCATGAGCTTGATGCTGATAATATGTGCTGTCCAGCTGTTCTGTCATGTTTTGGTTGTTCCCGCTACATTGTGGATGACCACAGGCAAAAAACAGAGAGGAACTTATCTTCCAGTGGCAGTGGGAATAGGGAAAGGCAGCCAGGGAGTCCAGTGTGAGACTGGGCCACTGTGTTGGAGTGATGAATAATGGCACCACACTTTCTGTTGGAAAAAAACACTCCACACCACTGTTTAGGAAATTTTATTAGGGTGTTAAATTTGATATATGCTGATTGGAATTTGAGAAGCCAGGGGCAGTTGGTGTACAAACTAATCGCTTAATGTTGTAAATGCAACATTTTATATTTACAAAATGTGAATGTTCTGATATGTGTCCAAAGGTGAAAGAATGTGAAACAGATATGCATGATTTGATTCCATTGTTATTCCAGGCTTTTTTTTAGGACTGTAATATATTCCAGCAGAAGAGGACAGACTCACCAGGACCATTTTTTTTTATTCAAAGATGGACACCCCTCTGTTGGACACACATAATGGGCCCCCACACCAAAGCCATAGGCAAGTAACCATGATTTTGTGTTTTTATCATCAGTTGTCCATGTTATACTCAATCTGCAGAAGTATTTTGTAAATGCATTTTGCACTTTCTTGATCCTCTTTAATGTTAAAGGAATAGCTTGTCTGTGTTAAGATAAGAGTTTATGTAAATCACTAAAGAGATGTGTCTGATTTGTGCAGTCAAGTCCAGAAAAAGGGATCAGACTCTCCAGTAACTAGCTGTGTGTCCATGAAGAGTGATGCATCTAAGAAAGTTTCACTATGGTTCAAAGATGGAATTCCCTTATCTGGACACAGGTAACAGCTCCTCGCTATTTAGCCACTGTATAGGAAAATGGTGACAATTCTAACAAGACTGATAAAATAAATAAAATAAAGAGATTTAAATTAATGTTAAAAGAAATTTTAAAATAATAAGGGCTGGTTAAATAGGAAAGAGTATGTAAATACTCATGTAATATCTGTGTTATTGTGCAGTCTAATCCAGGCAAAGAGATCAGATTCTTCAGTACCCAGCTGTGTGTCAATGAAGAGTGATGCGTCTAAGAATTACCTGGTAAAATTCAAAGATGGGGACCCTTCATCTGGATACAGGTAATGGGAACTAACAGTTGAGCCACTGTAGAGGGAAAGGATTAATTTTAGAGTTGGGAACAAGTCGTTTTGCTGCAAGTAAAAAGTCTCAAGACTTGATGGTCCTCAAAGCAAAATTTGACATCAATGATGGTATTAGTGTTAATATGTTACATGTCAGAGGGAATCCTCAGAGCCTTCTAGGGCTTCAGGGAAGGCCTTTATTTAATAGGCCAAATTAAGGAAAATAGATTTATATTTATTCAACTATTCAGACTAGGACTTAAGGAGCTGAAGTGACAATGAAATCAACCAATCATTTTTTTTTAATTTCCTATGGTTGGGACCAATACTGAAGGCCACATCACACATCAGACACACTGTGCACAAACATCAACCAAGTTCATTTTTACACTCCACTCATATAAATTTGATGGAATAAAATGTTCAGCATAATTAATGAATTTATCACATTTGGTATCAGTTTACTAACTCTATAAAAACTGATTTTGAGCTGAAAGATATGAGGGGAAAAAGACTAGGCTAGTAATGTTAGCTGAGGCAATATACTATTAGCATTTGTCTGTTTATCTGTGTACATTTCAAGCCACAGGTCATCCACTATGGCTTTTTATGGTCTCGTTCTGGGTTTAATTTAACATAGTAAGTGGCTTGCAGAGACTTTGAACAATGCTGAAACTGAAGCTGAAGGAGTCACAGTAAAGCTGCTACATAAAACATAAAATACATGTTAATGTCTTTTACAAGCTTCAAATAAAACATGGAATGTCTTTTACAAGCTTCAAATGTCTGTTTAATCTAGAATAATCAAAAAACTAGAAATACTAGAATAGAACTACTAGAACTACTAGACATCCTATAGGAGCATTAGCGGAGAGCTTTTACAGTTATGGCCCAAACTGAAGGCCAAGCTTTAATCATCATGGTTCCTGGAATGCTTGAACCTATGACGACCCAATTTACTAAAATATGCTAACGAAAGGATTACAATGTGGTATCGGACAGTTTAGAGTTAAGAAACATGCCTATATCTGCACTAACAAAGCTATCTTAATTTTTGAGATGTTTGGTGTGTGCAGTTAGCAGTTAACTAAAACAGATAAGAACTGATGGCATTTAGAATTGATTTGAAGACAAAATTAAAAAATAGAAATTATTTTGACTGTGCCAACATTATGTTCCACATATATCTAATAAACTGTCAAATGTGGTGTGTAAGTAAGCATCTTGACTAAGTTAGCGATGTACTGTCCAAGTAGTACATAGTGACAGCTTATATTAATAACAGCTTCCCACACCACAGCATAGGTTTTGTTTTTGGCAAAATGATTTACTGAGGGTAGAGCATTTTGCCAAGTTATGTGTCGAGCAGTTAGTTAAGGTACTCGTTCTCCACTACTGTCCTCATTAACTCTTCAGGCAACCATTTGCCTAGGAAGCAGGTTAAAACAGCTTTACACACTATGACATAGGTTCACTGAGTTGGCCACTTGAATCCTAACTGCATTAAGATGTAGCCTAAAAGCATAAAACAGCCAAATGAAATCAAATATTAAAAAAAATCCATCCATTTTTAAATATTTAAGATAGATAGATAGATAGATAGATAGATCAGTACTTTAATACAACACAATTAAATATACACTACAAAGTTTTAGCCATACACGCAATACAAATTATCCTGTATAAAGTAACTGCACTATACATAGACATAGGATACTACAAAAATTACAGTGACCTGTAAATATGGATTCTACAGTGCAAACATAATATGCAAAAAGGTGCAATGACAAGGATTCTACATCATTTTAATATGTATTATATCATATTTATATTATCATACTAATTTAGGGTCATGTGTAAGGATGTACATTTACAAAAATCTATTGGTTACACATTTTGATATTTACATATTTGTCAACTCGCAATATGTCTCACAGAAACATGAGAATCTCATGATACAATAAAAATCATACAAATGGATGGAATCTGAGATAAATATCTTACATACATGATAAAAAAGTAACATTTAAATGAGTCTCTCTGAGTCTGTAGCATTAGATTATCATGCAAATTTATTATTTTCTACTTGGCACATTCATGTCTTATTTCACTTCTCACAATATTTGGTGGGTCACAGCGCAAGAACTCTACATGCAGGTCCTGGAATGAGCAATTTGGAAAAATTTAGTTTTAAATATTGCACATAGAAATGAATAATTAAAAGTTTTTATAGAAATATAGGAATGCTGTATTTTACAAAAATCATTTTGAAACATGACTGAGAGTTTACGTTATATACACAAATCTGTCATGAGAACTAGTTGATTTCAAGTAAAATATTATTATGTATTTATTCAGAGTAAATAAAAATAGTTTGTCAGTGCTGCCTAAAAAAAGGTTAACAATCAATTTAACTTCTTATATGTAATTCAAATAAATAGTATAAATAAAAGGATGCAAAGTTTTTATATCAATTCAAACCTCAAAAAACTTTGTCTTGTTCCACATTTTTACAGTAGTTCAAGTTAATATTTCCACTCAGTTCAGCCATTTTATAAGAAGTTAAACTCAGTATTTAAAATGATTTAAAACCCTTAGAGCAAAGCTTTTTTATTTGTTTTCTGAACTAAAAAAAGGTTTTTGCTTGATTTTTTTCATGAAAATCCATGTGTCCTGTCAGTCTGTAGATGATTATCATGAAATAACCCAGCTGCAAAACTGTTGTGAACTTCTGTAATGATCAGGGCATGTAGGCAGGTTGCATGTGCAGAGTAAATGGGTTTGCCACAATTTAGACAACAATACATGACTGAGAAAATAAACTTACCATGAAATCAGGAAAACAGTGATTTCAGTGCAGTGGGACAAAATTAGAGTGAAAATATGGGTAGAGATTTTCTCCACTCATTTTGTATTGGTTCAGAAATGCTGGTCAAGCCTTGTTAGTCAAGCTGTACCTTTTCAAAGATAAGTGTATACAACATAAAATTTTGTGTGTTCATAGTGTCCTGCAGAGCGGAACAGACAAAACAGAAGAAAAGATCGTCATAGAGTAAGATCACAACCAACATACAGTGACAGTGATATGCAGTCCGCCTGAGTATAGATTGATTTGATTATACAGAGCATGTATAGCAAAACAAAGAGAATATATACATAGCACATTATACATATTATGCTAGATTTGTTCTTAGCAGATAGCAACTGTTTTTTGGGAGAGATGCAAGTGCCATCAAGACAGCAATTTTTAATAGTGTAGAAAATTATACTATTATTCTTACACTATTAATCTACCAGCAGTTGGTTCTATGTCTCAGCATATGTCTCACCACCTTGTAGATATGGCCAAGCTGAAGAAATGAAAGAAGAAGAGAACCTGAAATTTTATCTGAAAAACATGTATCAGTGTTTGAATGAGGTGATAGCACACCAGGAAAACCCAACACTTCTCAGTGAGATCTACACAGAGCTCTACATCACAGAGGGAGACAGTGGAGAGGTCAATAATGAACATGAGGTCAGACAAATCGAGGCAGCATCCAGGAGAACAGCAAGAGAGGACACACCAATCAAATGCAATGAGATCTTTAAACCCTTATCTGAACAAGACAAACCCATCAGAACTGTGCTGACAAAGGGAGTCGCTGGCATTGGAAAAACAGTCTCTGTGCAGAAGTTCATTCTGGACTGGGCTGAAGATAAAGCAAATCAGGATGTCCAGTTCATATTTCCACTTCCTTTCAGAGAACTGAATTTGATGAAGGACCAAAAACTTACTTTGGTGGATCTCCTTTGTCTGTGGTTTAAGAAGACAAAAGAAACAGAAATTTTCTACCTGCACAAAGCTCTGTTCATTTTTGATGGTTTGGATGAGTGTCGTTTAGATCTAGATTTTCAGAGCAGAGTGAGTTTGTGTGATGTAACTGAATCAGCATCAGTGGATGTGCTGCTGATAAACCTGATCAAGGGGAATCTGCTTCCCTCTGCTCTCATCTGGATAACCTCCCGACCTGCAGCAGCTGATCAAATCCCCTCTGAGTGTGTTGATCGAGTGACCGAAGTACGAGGGTTTACTGACCCACAGAAGGAGGAGTACTTCAGTAAAAGAATCAGTGATCAGAGTCTGGCCAATAGAATCATCTCACATCTGAGGAAGTCAAGAAGCCTCTACATCATGTGTCACATACCTGTGTTCTGCTGGATTTCAGCCACTGTTCTAGAGAGAATGTTGGGTGAAGCAGAGAGTGGCGAGATCCCCAAAACTCTGACTCAAATGTACACACATTTCCTCATCATTCAGACAAAAATCATAAGAGAAAAATACACAAAGAACCAGAAGACAGATGAAGAAATGCTTCTCAAACTGGGGCAGCTGGCTTTTCAGCAGCTGATGAAAGGAAACCTAATCTTCTATGAGGAAGATCTGAGAGAGTGTGGCATTGAAGTTGAAGATGCATCAGTGTACTCAGGTGTGTGTACACAGATCTTCAGAGAGGAATCTGGGCTGCTCCAGAGTAAAGTGTACTGCTTTGTTCATCTGAGTGTTCAGGAACATCTTGCAGCTCTATATGTGCATCTGACCTTCATGAACCAGAAGAGAAATGTGTTTAAACAGAGTTTGTTCTCTAAACTTTATAACCTGATGATTAAAGAAATTACAATCTCAGATGTACACAGGAGTGCTATGGATCAGGCATTACAGAGTAAGAATGGACATCTGGATCTTTTCCTTCGCTTTCTTCTGGGTCTCTCAATGGAGTCCAGTCAGACTCTCTTACAAGACTTAGTGAAACAGACAGGAAGTGACACAAACAGGAACTCCCACAGCAAAGAGGAAACAGTTCAGTACATCAAGAAGAAGATCAGAGAGAATCCCTCTGCAGAGAAATCCATCAATCTGTTCCACTGTCTGAATGAACTGGAGAATAATTCTCTAGTTGAGGAAGTTCAGCAGTACCTGCAATCTGGAAGTCTACAAATTTGTAAACTCACTCCTTCACAGTGGTCAGCTGTGGTCTTTGTGTTACTGACATCATCAGAGCAGATGGATGTATTTGACCTGAGTAAATACACCAGTTCTCAGAGCAATTCAGACGAGGTTCTTCTAAATCTCCTGCCTGTGGTTGCAGCATCCAGAAGAGCTCAGTGAGTATTTTTGAGCACAGCTGTTTTACTGCATCATTAGAAACAGAGAGAAGCTGTTAGTATTAAACATTAACATAACACAGCACTGATAAAATAAATAAAATAAAATAAAATATTGCCAAAACTTGTATATATCATTCAGCATTAATGGTGCCTTCACAGATGTGCACATCACCCATGCCATGTGCACTAATGCACCCCTATACCATCATGAATACTAGCTTTTGAGCTGTGCACTGACAACAAGCTGAGTGGTCTTTAGCCCGGTGGACAAAGTGTCCATGATTTCCAAAAAGAATTTCAAATGTTGATTCATCAGACCACAGGACACTTTTACACTTCCCCTCAGTCTGTCTCAAATGAACTTGGGCCCAGATAAGGTGGCAGCATTCCTGGATCCTGTTTATATACAGTTTCTTCTTTGTGTTTTAGAGTTTTAACTTGCATTTGTGGATGCAGCGACAAACTGTTTTCACAGACAGTGGTTTTCAGAAGTGTTTCTGAGCCCATGCAGTGATTTCCACTACAGAATCATGTCCGTTTTTAATGCAGTGCTGTCTGAGGGCCCCAAAGATCACAGCCAGCAAATACTGTTTTTGGCCTTGTCCCTTGCATACAGAGATTTCTCCAGATTCTCTGAACCTTTTAATGATATTATGTACCGTAGATGAAGGAAAGCAAAAGTACTTCTTGAATTGTTGTACTATTTGATCGTGCAGTCTTTCACAGAGTGGTGAACCCCTCCTCATCTTTACTTCTGAAAGACCCTGCCTCTCTGGGATGCTCTATTTATGCCCAATCATGTTTCTGACCTGTTGTCAATCAAAGCAAACAGGCAAATCAAGCAAAATACCAGGTGTTTTTTTTAGCATTATACAACTTTACCAGCCTTTTGTTGCCCCCATTCCATTTTTTTGAACATGTTGGCATCAAATTCAAAATGGGCATATGTTTTTCAAAAAACAATAAACTTTCTCACTTTTAACATTTGATATGTTGTCTTTGAAGCATTTTCAATAAAATATAGGGTTTAAATGATGTGCACATCATTACATTTTTTTTAATTTACATTTTTCAAAGCATCCCAACTTTTTTGGAAATGGGGTTATAAATTGGAATTTACAGACTTTGAGCTTTATTAATAGTCCTTTGATGACTAAGGGTTATTATGTTGCTTTCTTTAGGTGTTATAATTGTAATCTAAAAAAGAGAAGCTGTGACGCTCTGGCATCAGTGCTCAGCTTGGAATCCTCCTGTCTGAGAGAGCTGGATCTATATGGAAATAAACTAGGAGATTCAGGAGTAAAGTTGCTCTTTGGTGGACTGGAGAATCCTCACTGTAGACTGGAGACTCTGAAGTAAGGTTACAGCATCAATATCATTATTTCATATGACTAATTTTGATTTTGTTATAAAACTGCATGTTTTGTCCTTATTACATTAGATACACTACTACATAGGCAAATGTACATAGACAGCACTTGTAATTAGTGAGTGTTTCACCCATTGCATAAAATAAAGCATACAGCTATGCAATCTTCATAGACAAACAAGGGAAATAAAGTTGGCAGTACTGAACAGCTCAGTGAATTTCAACTTTGCATTGTTATAGAATTTGATCTGATCAACGTTATATGTGTATTCTGAACTGAGAGAGCAAAAGAACATTATGACATTGTTCTTTGCAGGTTGCAGTGTTGTAATATCACAGACAAAGGCTGTTTTGCTCTGGCTTCAGCTCTCAAATCAAACCCCTCACACCTGATAGAGCTAGATCTATCTGAGAATAAACTAGGAGATTCAGGAGTGAAGCTGCTCTCTGCTGCACTGGAGAATCATCTTTGTAAACTGGAGACACTGAAGTAAGATCACTTCTGTAAAAGTCACACATGACCTGGTCCTCAATAAGGCATACACTATATTCTTTTATGAAACTAAATCAGACATTCAAGGTTCAACAACAGTATCCTCAGGAGGATGCTCAATTAATTTGATCCTTCAATGATTCTTCAAGAATTTTATTTCCCTGAACTTTGTGTTCATTTCATACACATATTCTTCACTGTCTTCACTGAGCTTTCTATCTCATTTTTGAACCGAAACTAACAACAGTATTCAACTGTTCATCATGTTAAATTAATAAAATTGTTCTTGCACAAAACTGTCAAAACAGAGATGTCATTGTGCTGAGGTCAAATATGGTTCTGCTCTGGTGTCTCCATGGTACATTAACATATTTGCAGACTTCTTATTTTAAGTTGTGTGTTCTTCAGGTGGTGGGGTTGTAATATCACAGATGAAGGCTGTGCTGCTCTGGCCTCAGCTCTGAAATCAAACCCCTCTCACCTGAAAGAGCTGGATCTGTCTCAGAATAAACTAGGAGATTCAGGAGTGAAGCTGCTCTCTGCTGGACTGGAGAATCCTCACTGTAAACTGGTGAAACTGAAGTAAGATCATTTCTCTGAGAGTCACAGATGACAAGGTACTCAACAGGCCAAGACCACAGAAGGGGGCAAAAGGGAGAACGCTGTCCCCTTGGTTTTGGACATAAAAAATCCAAACCTTTTTGCTTACTTGTACCATCACAAATAGCTAGATTATTCCTACCAAAAACATCTATTGTTCTATAGTTACTGGTCAAATAAAGGACAGACATTCCAAAATTTTAAATGAGGAATAGAAATATTATTTGTAGAAATTCTTTGTTTTAGTATGTATTTTAAATTGTGCAAAACAGAAACTAAAAAAAAATAAACTAAGCTAAACTAAAAACTAAACATAAAAACTAAATACAGCTCTTTTTTGGTTGTTCTTGCCTGTGGTTGTCTCCACAAGTTCATGGCATTTTTGTTATGTAATCTTAAATGTATCTTAAATAATTATACAAAACATATTATATATATTTTTAGATTCATTTTATTATACAGAATTATTTTTTTTGATTACGGTGATTCTCATTTCTCATAGCACCTCTATCATGTTATGCTAGCACCACGCTAACGATGATGCACATTCACTTTACCACACTAAGTTTAACCTTCTGTGGTCTACAAATGTTTCCTTGATTTTTGCATATCTTCTTTTTTGCCTTTAAAGGTACTTCTATGTAACATGATACCCATATGTTTTGTATCAAAATGCTCTGTTATCTTCATTGCTGCTATTCAAGATCGCTGCAGAAACCTCTAAGTTTGAACTGTATTTCTACACTATGTTTTTGCGAAGACAGAGAAACATATAGAGACAGTGAATTTGATGCACCAGTGAGTTGGTGGACCCCAGAGGGTTAATGCTACATACTGCAGCTCTAGCTTTAACGCTGACATTTGAAGTTTGTAAGATATGCATTTGTTACTTCTCTGCCCCTATATATACCATACTCAGTCAAAAATAAGAAGTAATAATGTGCTACACTGTCTATTTCATTTTTGTATTCCAAACTACACATGCCTAATTTGAGTTACTTGATTAAGTTAACAATTACTAATTTAAGTTTGAAAATTTTTGCCCATCCCTTGTAATTACACTTAGTACGCTAGAACCCTCATTGATTAGATAAAATGTCTGGTGGTGCAGAAACACTGTTCTGCAACATAAGGCAAAAAAGTCACTTTTGACTTGAGAAACAAAAGAGCTAAAAATTGCTTATTATGTTTTGGTTTTCATACTTTTTGAATAATGCAGTCTGGGCAAATTGGGATTACTGACTACATTTTACCTCTTGTACCAGTTAGACTGTATGATTTCACTTTATTGCAAATATGTTTAACTCTTGTTATCAATGCCCCCTATCAGATTCTCAGACTCCCCCTGTTGATTCTCCTCCGGCATTGGCTCTGGTTCTAAACAAAGCATATTTTCAAGTAGTGAGACAAAGCAGAGATTTCATATTTTGTCAACTAATACAAGTTAGAATGAGCCTGAAAAAAAACTGTAAACTGCCATTGATTATTTATTTTTCACAAACCACAGCAGGATATTAGTGTATCATTTCCAACTGACTGGATGGCTACATCAATAACAGATTAATTAGAATTAGCATCAATGATTGTTCTCATACAAACAATGCCATTGTGTTTTGCCATAAGCTGCATGCACAGAAAGTACCGGGTCATTTGAACAAGGCCATCTGCAGATGCTGATTTTAAAAAGTTAACTTGTTTGTAGGGATGTCCCAATACAGTTTTTTGCTCCTGAATCTAGTCCAAATCATTTACACTACCCCTAACATCATAACGTAAAACATAGAAAAGTAATGTTGAATAATTGTTAAATATTGTGTTATTATTGAAAACTACCAAAATGTCATATAACCATCCTTCGGCCTTAAAATTAATTAAGAATATAAAGATTTATAAATATTCATATTTATGCAAACTGTAAATGCTCCCTTGCCTATTAGTTCCAAACCCCACTCTAACCCTCTGTGCTTTTACATTTGGTAAATTGGAAATATAGCCCTCTACATTTGAACAGATTCAGCAGATGAGAAAATAAGATCAAAAATAAAAATAAGCTCCTACTATAATATTAATAATCAAACAATAAACCTGCAAATTTTTTAATTCATCACTCAGTAAATGTTAAACACAAAATTGAACAGCAATTGTTAAGTCCTGAAAAGTGCTAAAAAGAGCACTAGCTTAGTTGGCTAATACCTTAGCTCAACACAGAACAGGTTAGATTCTGTCTTTCTGTCACTCCAGCACACTCAACTTTACTCATTCAGATTTTAAGTCTGTGTTGTGGTACAGAGCTGATTTAGGCTGTTTGCTAAACTAACACTGGCCTCTGGTGCTAATATGGACAGTATAATAGAGTGAGAATAGCATAGTTAATGGCTCTAAACAAAAAAACAGCTTCACTGCATTTTTATCCTCAAAATGTACTGCAAATAAGCATCAGTAAACCAAAATTGAATCTGTTTTGTGACGTGAAGTTGTTTTAGCCTGCTAACTAAGCTAATGCTAGTCTCTGGTGCTAACATGAACAGTATAGTGGAGTAAGAGTAGCAAAGTCTCAACACACAAACAGGTCTGGTTCCTCAGATTTGAGTTTTTATTTTCTACACTTGCAGCAATAAAGCTTCAGTAAGCTGGAATTAAACCTGTACTGTGGGGTGTATCATTCATGTGTATTGTTTAGTTTTCCCCAAATGGTTCACTTTGGCTTGCACTTACATAAACTCACCTTTAGTGCTTGTTTCAGCAGCAAAATACTAATCTGTGGCAACATTTAAAATGTGATCACCTGAGCACACTTACATCAGAGTAAGATCCACAGCACTAGACTGTTTCAGAGGCTTTAATAAAATCCAACAAACATATTGAAGCCAGTTAAGTGTACAAAACAGTAACACATTCAGCACGTTCAACTTCTTGACTTAAGGTGTGCTAACTCTTAACCTGGTGAAAAAAGGCAGAAAGACCCCAAGAGCAACATGCAAATTCCCAATTACTTATTAAATAAAATACAATACACAATAAAATGTCAGCGGTTTCATAAGTCATATGTACAGTTTCCTGCAAACATTTTACTTGCCACTCCAGATATAACTAAGATGCTCTAATAATGTGTATGGTATTGTTCTCTTTGCAGGCTGCACTATTGTAATGTCACAGATGAAGGCTGTGCTGCTCTGGCATCAGCTCTGAAATCAAACCCCTCATACTTGAGATGGTTGGAACTATCTGAGAATAATCTAGGAGATTCAGGAGTGAAGCTGCTCTCTGCTGGACTGGAGAATCCTCTCTGTAAACTGGAGACACTGAGGTAAACCTAGGACCAGAACAGATTGGTTTTGTGAATCATATTTTTCTTTTACACATACTGAAAAGTGTCAACAGAATTTTGTTGCTTTTTTAAATTCATGTACTGTAATATATTGCTATAATGCTAATTTGTTGCTTATTTATTTAAAAAAAATCTTGCTGTACTGATCTGTGTCCTGAACTGAGGGAGTGAAGGGTGTGTCGTTGTTCTCTCTGCAGGTTGTGGGATTGTAATATTACAGATGAAGGCTGTGCTGCTCTGGCATCAGCTCTGAAATCAAACCCCTCACACCTGGAAGTGCTAGATTTGTCTGAGAATGATCTAGGAAACTCAGGAGTGAAGCTGCTAGATGCTCTCAAGGCTGATGAACATTACAAACTACATGAACTCAAGTGAGTATTCGGGACTTCAAATAAACATATCTTTTTTAACAGTTTATAAACAGTATATCAGATTGATCATTTAGCAATTAAAGTACAAGTAATTACATCTGGTAACACTGTTTTGCAGTGCCCTTATTACAGTGACAGTGACATGAACTACAATTACAATTAGAACTACAATTAAGTAAATGTTTAACAGTACTTAAGAGTAGTTGTATGGTTTGTAATAAGGAAGTAATATAAACAATAACAGTTACATTATATAATGTTGTTACACTGTATATTTACAAAACTGTGGACTTGTTTGTCTTATTAGCAGTTTGTGCTAAACCTTCAGCACATATATTGCATGTGTCATTTCGTAAAAGAATTTTGATTGTACTTTATGGACAAGACACATCTATTATATTCAATTTCTTGTTATAGTTTTCCTCTACTGCACACTAAAACTAGTCATATGAGCATCCCAAAGGAAGTAAACATCTCTAACACTACCCTGCCACAAAGAGGCTCATGGAACTCCTGTTTCTGTTACAGACAGACCACATTACATGATGATACAACCACAGTATTTCTTTTTCCTTTTTAGCTGACTGCACTTTTATTTTGACAGCCTACTTCATACATTAGCAGATCAGATAGAACAAGACAAAAACTACAAAAACTAGTGTCCAATGTATTGTTCATCATTCAGAACATGTTAAACCAATAATCTAAGAACAACTGTAGCTAAATGTAAACAGTGCAGTTACGGTAGAGTAGAGTTGGTTGTGATGCTCGCACTAACTTACAGCACACACCACAGGATGGCTGACTGTCACTGTCAACTGTAACCATAACTGATTTCTTAAAAAAATATTATTTTTCATTAATTTATATGAATTGAAATGGCATGGTCTATAAGTTTTATGATACAATATTACTATCATGTAGCTGTTAAATTATATATCTTGCCCAAGTGAGTAAATTATAGCAATTTTTGTAACTGTCCAGTTATACTTTATTAAAATAATTGTACACAGACATTTAAAACATGGTTATGATATAAAAAGATCCCATTTCACTGTAAAATTTCTAATGTCTAACGTGTATCAATCATGAATAATAAGTATGATACTTGGTTTGGATGTGATCAGCTGTAATGCTATACACCAATGGCTATAAAGCAATAACATATGTTAAATGCATTGCATTTAAACAGGCTTGTGAAGAGTTTAAATAGGCTGTTTGTTTGCATGTCACTAAAGTGAAAATTTTAAATCAGTAGTCTTTTCAGGAAGAGTGACCTATGCCAGTGGTTCTTAACTCCAGTCATGAGGACATACTGCAATACACAGTTTCAGCTTTTCCCGGTCTCACACCTGATCCAACTTATCAGCCAATTATTAAGCTCTTCATGAGCTGGACCAGGTGTGTTCAGGGCAGGGAATACCTGAAATTGTGCTGGGCAGTGGATTGATACACAACAGATGAAATCTAGGTACTGAGGGTTTAGCACACATTGATAAAAGGACAACAATTTTCTATATATTTAAATACAATAAGAAAAGCTGCCCAGGCTCTAACCAATATATACAATACTTAAACCAATATATGTTTTTGTTTTCAGATGAACAGTTATGTTTTTTAAGTTTTTTTTGCCAGTAACATTTTCTTTTACAGTTTACTAAGTTCTAAGTATTAACTGGGTAAGACTGAGGTACAAATTCCAAACTACTGCATAATTATTTTTGGTTCCAAGACTAAATTACACTGAAATGACTATCGTGCTCTAGTTATTAAGCTGATGAAGGATATAGTAAAATATCTCATTAACATCCACTAAATTTCATGTTTAAGCAGGAAAGTAAATTGGAAAACACTTCCAAGTATTGAGTAGTTAAATGGTGTAAAATAACAAAAGAAAGTACAAGTATTGTTTTCTGAAAACAAATGTCATATAATTACCCACTAAATTTTACCCACAATAAGTACATAGCACTTCAGGGTTGTGTCCTTACTTACCCAATTAATATCAACCTGTTGACCATTTCAGTGTAATTTAGTTGCACTATTTTGGAACTTACCATCATATTAACCAAAATAATTTAACGTACTGAAAACTTTGCCGTTTTGTCACACATGTATGTGGTTAATAGCTAGAAATCGAGGGACAGTAGGAAAAAAAAGGAATGCAGACAGACGTAACTATATGCTGTAATGGCATTATTTTCATATTCTGAACCATGTAACAACTTTCTGATCATCACTATGTTATTCCTTACCTTGTAGTAAGACACTATTTCAGTGCACCAAAACACATTTGGACACTTGTCTTTATGGTGCACAAAAGAATCTTACAGCCAGAATAGATAAAGGTTAACCTGAACCAGGGAGAAAGAAACAGGACATGAAGAAATACATATATTTGGTGATTAAAAAAAAAACTTCATGCGTGAAACATTGTGGAAACTTGGCTGTTACTGAAACTGGTTTAATATATTTGATAACATAGCTGCTTATTGTGGCAGCAGAAAGAATTCACAATCCAGAACTTTAATACATTCTGAATGCAATTCTTGTTTGTTCAGATTAAACTAAAAGCATATACACATAAAACACATTTCTACTTCAGAGAAGTGACAGAGGTTCTTTTATGTCAAAAACTTGCTTGATTGACAAGTTTGTTTTTTTTTTTGTTTGGGTTTATTTGCAGGGTCTGGTGAATATATGGACAAGACTCAGTGAAGACTTCTATTAAATGCCTTGGTTATTAATAGGTAATTAAATAGCCTTGATTACAGGCTACTAAGACAACATATACCACAGAAAATATAGAATAGATTGCCTGATGTTCAGCAAATTGGGTCTCCTTCTCATTTTCCCATAGTAATGTCATCTGTGAATTTATGACAACTATACGACACACATTTATTGAGCTTCATCCTGAAAACTGTTTTAGTACTATGACAGAAACTTTTTTTTCATTTTGGAATCAAGTGCTGTGGTCTGATGAAATAAAAAATGAACTTCTTGGCCTCAATCACCAAATGATTTTTTTCATTATCAATAAATAGATCACCTTGCCAACTATTCATCATTTAAACGGACCTTTAACGCATTGGGGTTGTGTGGCAGCAAGTGGCATAATATACATTGTGGGATAAAAGAAAGGAAGGATTCTGCTAAACATTAACAAATTCTGGAAGCTAATGTTCCACAATCAGTGAAGAAACAGAAGCAGAAAAGAGGCTGGATGTTACAAGATAACAATCCAAAACATTCAACAAAATCAACCTCAAACTACTTAAGGTTTAACAATGGCCTTCACCGTCCCCAGACTTGAATATCATGAAAATCTGTGGGTAGATCTCAAACATGATATGCATGCAAGATGATCTATAAATATTTCTGAACTAGAACCATTCTGCAAGGAAAAGCAGGAAAAAATAAACAATAATAGTAGGCCTGTTACCTGGCTACAAGGAGAGTTTGGAGCCAAAGTAGGTGTTATTAAGTACTGCACATGCCTCAGTTTCTGTTTTATTTTTTCCCAATACTTTATATTGCAGAGGGAACTTCTTGTCATTAAGAAAATTGACAAAATGTGTAATTTGACCAGTGGGGTCTAAACTTTTGCATATAACTGTATATATCACTGTTAATAATAGTCTGTAAGTTTCTCTTTTACACTGTTATACTTTCAGGAATAGGAATACTATTACAACATTATACTATTAGGAAAACAATGCAGTAGGTTTTTACGCTGTATGTCTGAAACAAATGAGTCAGTCAGTGTGGCCTTGGTTATTCTGAATTAAGGGGCTATACATCAATCAGGGATTGTCCAATCATGAACAAATCTGGACCATATGTAAAGAATGACAAACTGAAGAAGTTTAAATTTAGAAACTTTTTCTCTAATCAAAATAGAGAAATAAATGATTTCAAACCACACATCTCATGATGGTTCTATGTATTTTAGACATTCAGGCAGTTTCATTGAAAACTATGTCCATCATATACAGAGTAGTAATATTGTATCTGATCACTAGAGGGGGTTAGACAGAAATAATGGCAAATTAGAAACCAGTAGCCAATAAGGTGCTTGGTCTTTGATGATTGCAACTTGTGGCTACATTTGTTATTGTAATTTTATTTTCAGTTATTAGTCTTTGAAAAATTTAAATGCCACTCCAGACACACCTAAGACTCTATTTTGTTAGTTACGCTTAGTTAATCAAGATAAGATGCAGTTCTACATGGACAATGCTGCACTATTTAAGGTTTTTTTTTTTTTTTGTTAAAATTGAAAGAAGCAGCTTTACTGTGACTGGAGGAAAGAACGTCTTTTTTGTGAATTTCCCCATTGTGGAACTATTAAAGGATTATCTTATCTTATAATATGGTGTCCATGCAAATACCTTTCTGGTAGAAATGTGTAATTGCTCACATTATGGGGAAGAACATTTTGTAACATCAGTTGTGCTTCTGACCCCTTCCCCGAGCAGATGAATCTGATGATTGCAGGCAAATGAAACGGTATTCAAAAAGAACTCAGTCAAATTTGGTGAGGGATGTGTCTTCTGACGATGTAAATAAATGATCTTCTATTGTCATCATGTCTTCATCCGTATAACGTTTAATCATGTATTTGAGACCTAAACATTGAGTCGGATCTTCTTTTTGAGCCTGTATCTGTCACGGGAATATGTAAAGACATACAATGTGGTTTAAAAAACATTTAGTGTGTTATTTTTCTTGACTTAGTAATGACGTTTCTTTCAACGTCAATAAAAATAAACTTACATAGTGCAGCTTTAATGACTGTTGTGTCAATCATCAGTTTATCTATGACTAAATCTTGTCCAGAAAATCACAGCTTATGTTCAAAACAGCTGTTACATATTTACAATAAAAACATTTTCCGCTTTTCTCTTTGGGAACAAGACGTTACGACCCAAATACACAAATAATCAGACCTGCTTTTTTATTGAGATGAAACAGGATTAACTTTAAGTTTATGGGTTTAAATTCCAAGCATTTCAGGCAGAGATTAAATGTATACATGATACACAATGGCAAAACATATATATATATATATATATATATATATATATATATATATATGGCAACACAATACATCATTTAATCATATATATACTTAAAATGCAGATGTCTATTAATTTAACTAATACAGCACACATTTTGATTGTAAAACCTAAATCACTAAATCAATAAATATGTTATAAAGTGACAAACATATTCCTCAATGACATACAAAGAAAAAATGGGTGCAAATCAGAAATGACTTAAGTGAGGTCTCCTTTGACCTCTCTGTGCTCTCTCACCTCTGTCTTTGGCAAGTCTGTCTACTCTCTCTCTCTCTTTCTCTCTCCAGCAGCACAACACACAAAACTAGAATACAAAGAACTCAATATAACTGATGACACATTGACTTTGTTACATTTCAGTCAAAACTCTACACATTTGACATTGCAGCAGCTGAGCCAAACAAATGAGTGGCATCCTAAAAGCTCAACTCAAATGATATAATACCTCTGCACTAACTAATGTTAGTAATCTTCGTTGGGAATGTTACAGAATCAAAGATGATTGTATTTAAAAATGTCAAACGTGCCTAAGCTGGCATGATGAAGGCACAGAGATACATTAATCTTCTGCTTTGGTGGGAGCCTTCGGCCCATGTACGTTAACCAGTTGACATCTCCTTTGAACAAGTTTCATTCAGTGAGCACTAAAACAAATCTAATAGGCCTTGGTCTAAAGTGATCATCAGTCAGCAACTTTTTAGTGCCAAACCAACTCATGCAAACTGTCCCAGCAACTAACATGGACATTCAACATACAGACTGGTCTAGCAATCAGCTCCTCTAACTGGTCACTACAGCATCTGAAACCATTTCTCTTATACTGGGTTGGTTCAGGATTTGCTAAAAACGCTGGTGGTCTATGTGGGTAAAATGGCAACTTCTAACCAACAGTTCTAAGCAACAGTTGAACCAAATCTGGGTAATTGACAATTTTAAAACATAAAATAGGACAAAAAAACAACATCAATCATATGAGGTACAGGAATTATAAAGGGCAGAGGGAAGAACAGCTCAGTGGTACAAAATATCCACAAATAAATGAATAAAATGCAGTGTTAGAGCTAGTTTAGCATATGGCAGCTATAGAACAACAGACTGAACAGCGATATGAAGACCTACAAAATGTGACGCAAGCTCAAACTGGACTATAAAGCCCAAAGGCGTTCACTAAAGACTGTATTTTTAATATTAATATTACAATAAAAATCCAAGTAATAACCCATGTGATAATAATAAGCTCTTTAATTGGTCACACATATTAAATGGCTGTTATCAACTACCACTTCACTTTTATGTTGTTTCTAAATTGTCATGCACAGTCCAGTTTGATCAAAATACAACAAAAGTAGTCTAAAAGAGACAAAGTGATTGAACATTCACTTGCAAGAAATTTAGCTTGTACGATAAACATCAACGAAAGTCTTCAGAGGCAAAAAGCACCATTACTTTATTATCTTACGTGCAGCATCTGTAAAGCCACAATCAGGAATCAATAAAGTGATTTTTGATTGTACTTTAAACACTGATTTTTGTAGATAATATCTGCATTATGATTTTTCCTATATACCCATACAGACACCAGACAGCATAACTACAATTTTGATAAGCGTGTTCATGAATACAGTTCCTTTTGCCATTAGTCTAGCTGTACATTCAAAACATATATAAATATGTATGTGTGTTCATTAAGTACACCTCCTTGTATCTACACTCATTGTCCATTTTATCAGCTCCATATAGGTGTACTTCAGCAATTGCAGACTGTAGTCCATCTGTTTCTCTGCATAATTTACCCTGTTCTTCAGTGATCAGGACCCCCACAGAGCAGGTATTATTTTGGTGGTGGATCATTCTCAGCAATGCAGCGACACTTACATGGTGGTGGTGTTCTAGTGTGTGTTGTGCTGGTCTGAGTGGATCAGACACAGCAGTGCTGCTGGAGTTTTTAAACACCTCAGTGTCACTGCTAGATTGAGAACAGTCCACCAACCAAAAACATCCAGCCAGCAGTATCCTGTGGGCAGCATCCTGTGACCACTGATGAAGTAGTAACCACTAAAGTCCTGACCACTGAAGAACCGGTTAACCAAGGGGGCTAACCAAGTATGCAGAGAAATAGATGGACTACAGTCTGTAATTGGAGAACAATAAGGAGGTGTACTTAATGAAGTGGCCGGTCAGTGTGTGAAATACCTGATTGTGGCTTTAAGAGTAGTCCTGTCTCAAGGTCAGTTTGGCTTTTCAGTATAGCAAGAGGACGATGAGACAGTACAGGGTGAGGACTGATCCCAGGACAGTGCTCTCAGTCTAAGATGGCTGGTTAATTTGACCCACACACTGCCAACACGTGTAGCATGAAACAGCGTGTCTATGTGAGAAGAATGCGTCAGCTGTTGTGTTGATAGCCTGTCCACTGTGGTGTTGTGTGTCTGAGTGTGCTTCTGTATCTGTGTGTGTGCAGCCACATGCAAAAGTTTGGCACCTCTGGTCAAATTACATTGTTTGTTGATGTTCTAAGTGGAAATAAGTTAACACGCCCTCTACAGAGAACACACTTCTGCACTTTTTAATGCACAATTACTGCATATTTCCTGAATGTAACATATTGGAAAAATAAACCACAAAATATAGGCCACATTTTATATACACATTTTATTTGTTCCAATATGTTAAACTGTTAAGGGAGGCACCGATCCCAGTTTTTCTCTTTCAATACCAATTCCGATACCTGAACTCTGGGTATATACAGAGTACGGATCCAATATCAGTGCTTTTTCTAAACATTGTTTTTAATTCTGAATACCTCAGTGTGTCTAACACGAGGCTGTAATTAGAGCAAAAAAATAATAAAAATGAAAAAGAATGAAAAACGAGAATGAAGTATTACAAAAAACTTTTTATTAATATGCTTCTGAATAATGCAACAGGAAAATAAATAGTAATTATAATTCCAGTGTAAACTTTTCAGTGCTACAGTAAAGTTATGACGTCTAAACATTCAAACAAAATGTGAGTTTAACCCTCGAAACTTTAGCTTTTGAAATATTACAAGTTGCTGTACTGCTAGCAGCTGTATTAAATGTAAAATACCTTCAAATTGCAGATGTTATTAGCCAGCATGAGTCCTGCAGCTTGTCTTGTTAGTTGACATTTAAATTGAGGGTTTTTAAAATGAGGCACCCTTATTATTAATTTCATATTTAACCAAATTATTCAAATTTAATTAACTATCATTTTTTTAGCCTACATGAAATTGATAACGCAAACCTATGAAATTACTTTTTCGGTTGCAAAACTGATACAGTACAGAGAACAGTTCCTGAATCAGGCTTTTATTCTGATGCACCACATCAGTTCATTCTGCACCTCATAGCGGTATGCGGCTGATGGAGGCATGACGCCACACAAATGTTGCCATGGTGACAGAGTATCAGACTGATGCATCACTATAAATTGTTATGCAAATAAATGTAAGTTGAGCACTAAAATTAGCAGAAAAATGCAATATTTAAATGCACTCTCTTTAGAGTATGTGTTAACTTGTTTTCACATAGAAAATCAACAAAACATGCAATTTCACCAGGGGGATTCAAACTTTTGCATACGACTGTATCTGTTGAAAGTGTAAAGAGCTGATTAAAGAAGTTTAGCTGTGATTATTATGGCTGTTGATGACGTTTCCACCTGGGGGCGCAATATGGATGGAGTCCAGGATGGGCCTCAAAACCTGACCAAACGGGCTAGATGGGCAAAAAAAAGAACAAAAAGAGACGTACAAGTTAGAAAACGAGAGCTTGCAACATCACACTCAGCTGTCTTCAGATTTTCATACGACGTGTGCCAATTCTGAATTGAACATATCACCACCAGTGATGTGGAAAAAGAAAATTCTGTTTCACATTTTTTTTTCATGTTTTTTCATGATTTTTCACAGCAGACTCCAATTCTAAATTCTTTACAGCCAAATTGGCTGATTTGCTGATTTTTATTAGCCTTTTTTTTTTTATTTATACCGTGTAAAGTAAATGAACACATGAAACACTAACCAATTTCCAGAGTCACAAAGTCACAATATAAATAACATAATTTGCTCTTTAATGAATCAGATTGGCATTTTAAATTCTTTTAAAAATATCAGTTGCCTACTTACGTGGAGAGCACTTCAGAAGGCAGGTCTGTGATGTAGGAAGGAATCTTCTTGCCTGTTAGAAACTGAGCCACTTCATTAGTGAAGGTGTTGCAGTTGTGCTCAAACAACCTGTACCGCTCCCCTCTATACACAGAGCGATAGAGAGAATATTTTGTCAACAATAAGTGACACTACTACTTCATAACTTATAATTCCTATGATTTTAAAGAGATTTGTACACTAGTTATGTTAGCATCTGTGAATTCTGTACTTTAATTAGAGGTCCAAGCGCAGGGTGGATAGGTAGGATTCTGTCATGCTACTCAGCCAAGTAAGATGAGCCTGATCTGTCTGAAGTGGGAGCTGCAGCACAGCTTTTCATGCATCCAAACAGGTGAATGAAACTTTTATTTTCTATCTACTTTCCTCGACCCTGATCTGTAGCTCAATTCCTAAATATATTTGGGTAAGCTGCCTACCATGTGGATACACATGGCTACCAGATCAGGTAAAATCATAGAAAGAAGTTTTATTCAACTTTTCTGGCATGGCCAAACCCCTTGCCAGAACTAAATTTTAAGCCAGGCAGTTGTATCTTTTGGGCACACACTTGTTTGACTAAGCATACATTGGTATGCCAAAGTTTGGCCGCACCTTGTCAAATGTTTGATTTTCTAAGTAAAATGTTTTATTACATACTTCTATAACCTAAGAATAGCTCAACTAGTTTGCATTTAAGTCCCTGTAGTAACTGAATAATACACCTTAGTATGTAAGAAGCCTGGGTTTTTAGGGGGATAAGCCCAAAATCTTGCTTATCCAATAGGAAAAGAGCTGAGGCACAGTCCTCATCTTTGGGCTTAAGTTATCTGGCTAACTGCAAAATACTTTATTGTGAAATACTCCCCAGGAGGATTTGCTTTGGTTTTGGCTTTCATGGACCCCACCTGTATCTAATCTGTTGCCCTGCCCTGTAATTGTTCACAGGTGTTTCATATTCGTTTCCCCCAGTATTTGTACCCCTTGTTCCTTGCCTGGCATTGTAGGTTACTATACTTTTATTATATTTAGTATTTCTTTCAGTTTCTTGTTTGTTTTCTTGTTTAGTTTTTATTTTTTTCAGCTGTTTTCCTCCATGCTGCCTTCATTAAGGCCTTTTAATCTTTCAGATTAACTGCCTTTTTAATAATTCAGACAAAACTGAATAGGAGTTAAAGCATTTTTTCACCTCTATTAGCCCAAAAATGTTAAACAAGCTTTTCCAGTTACAGTGTACTTTAGATTAGCTGTCACCATTTTGTGTCTGTTCAACTTACAAGGCTTAAGAGCTAAGCTTTTTTTCAAATAGCAAAAGCACAGCTTGGAGTGTTTTACATGACGTGTGCACTGTAACCATAACAACACTACTATCATAGAGTACATTACTCTGCGTTTCTCTGAATAGCTGAACTTAGTCACCTTTTGAAAGCGCTCTTTAAATACAGTCACATTCTGATCTGATCACATCAGGATTGATCGCAGCTAAAATATGTGCTGCCAGCTGAGGAAAAAACACTTGATTTGAATCCAACCATATCCTTATTTAGGTAAATACTAGTGACAGCGGAAACAAGCCAGACTGTCCCAAATATTTTTATTCTTTTTGAACTCTTGTGCTAAAGGCAGAGGGTTGGACTGGATATTGGATTCAGGTTAAGGTGAAAGCTCCTTTCAGAATAACCAGTACCTGCTTTTGCCTAATCCCTATAAGCTAAAAAAAAAATAATATAAAAAAAAATGGTAAATTCACAGCTATAAATTTTTTGACAAAAAAGAGTAGTATTTTATTTTATTTTAAAAATTCAACTAAATTAAATTCATTAAAAATGTCAACCAGTTTTTGGCCTAGCAAACTAACTTAGCAGGCTTGGCCATCTGAGGACCACCCACAGTGACAGTCCAGATGTCTATGACGTGTAAAGACAAAATTCTTGGTTTTGAAGATTCTTTGGACCGATAAGCCCCACCCACTTTATCAGCTAGGTATTTCAACCAGTCCTCACAAAACTGGTGTCAAAATACTTTCACCTCCATATATTCACTCTAACCTGATTTAAACCTCTGTTGATTTGTAACATTTACATGTTGACACTGTGTTTGGTAGGCCAAGTATTGTGCCGCACTGCAAACACACACACTACAAGTACTACAACTGTCGAGGTAGCATATCAATTTTGGCACATGTATGTCAAGAAGGGGCACCATAACATGTAAGCAACTGTTTCTAAGTATCAGCTCATCCAATCAAGCTGAACGTTTGCATGCTGCATCTGCTAGTTTGTAAGAGGTTAAATAAGAGTGACTGGATATTTGGAAAAATATGGCCACGACCAGCCAATCAGCTTTTAGTAGGTATTTGACAGGCTTAACACTGGGGAACTGAATTCATGGAACCTAAATGGTACATCCATGCAGGTACCCTTCACTACTCTAAGAACTGGCCTCTGGCAGTATTACATGTTTCCAACAATAAAATGCGTTGTGTTTCCACATTTGTTACTTGTTTCCAATCACTTCAAAAACAGTCTTGAAGCAATCGGTGGAGTAGGTAAACAATTATCTTTTTAAAAAATTATTTTTAGCGCTTCTAATGATCTACTTGCCCTGCAGATTTTAGCTATAGACCTAATCTAACACCTAACATTAAAAGGTATGTGTGTTAAGTTACTGTCAGAACTAAACTTTGTAAGATTTCTAAGACTAAGTTTAGATAGCCTTGCCTGCTGATTCAGAGGTTGCAATTTTGCTGGTCAATATGGGTGCTAAAGCATATAATTAGCGTTTTTCTTTGTTGTGTCTCCAAACTAGCTTTTAAGAGGAAGGTGAAAACTCAAATTCAAAACCACGCAATTACTTTAGCTTGGAGATACATAATTAAAGTCAAATTATTAATTTCTTTTAGCATAACCTTGAACACACTTTGCACACTTTTCAAATTTACTGCTATTCATGTTGACCTCTTTGTTAATACAATTATTGCTTACAATAAAGAAGTCAAAAGGTCAGTCTGTACAAAATTTGGCATACATTTTTTTTTAGAGATTACCCATCAAGAATGACAAATAGAGGCCTTTTGGAAAACTTTGATTTCCAATCATTTAACATCTGTCTGCACAAGGGCCTCATTCAGGGGTTGAAGCTTTATTGTGCTGAATCTTTCTTGGATCTAACAAACTGATGCTTGCAGCTGTATTTACTTATGATTCTGTAAATATGTAGCTCACACGGACACACACACACACACACACACCTGTATGTGGTCTCTCCCAGTGATGATAGGTAGTCCATAAAAATCTCTTCGGTAACCTCAGTGTTCCCCAACTCCACCACTGTGTCTGGTGGGCCAAGCATTGTGCCACCCTGCAAACACACCGCATGAATCACACACCACAGAAATACCATGAAAGAGGTAAGAGTTTAAAAGTTGCTGCTGCTATAAATAACCCAAACAGCATTTATAGTGAGAAACATTTGCATGTGTTCAAAACACTTCAAGCCAGAAGACATCAAGAAGGATTTAGATTCTGGACTTTCGAACAGCATCAAAGCCAGACCGAACCTTTTCCGTGGACACTCAACAGAAACAGAAAACTGAGGTTGGCTGTCTGTAACTGAGAGATGCTGCTTTAACTGCTGAAAAGCGAGCTTGCTTCGCAACTTTACACATTGTTAGCCTCAGCTCAGCAGAGTCAGCTGAAATATTCTGAGCACAATTCATTTTTCATTCATAGACTCCAGTGTGTGTTTCTCTTTTGTACCGCAGCTGCAGTCATCGCTCTTCTATCACTTCCAACTTGACCTTCTGTTAAAAATTATGCGGTTTTCTGGTCGCTTCAGAATCAACTCTCAAACTGTAGGGACGCAGAAAGGCTCCAGAGGCTGCAGCAACTCGTCTGCTTATTTTAGAGAAGATTTGTATTGTTCTATTTTCATTTATATATTTTCCAAAAATTGTTTAAGTTAACTCTGTATTTTCTTCACAATGAGCTGAATCACTTCCCTCGCCCACTGCTGGCTGCTTTAGAGGCACGTCGCTAAAACACACACAGGTTGAGGTTTCAAGAGAGAATGTGTGTGCAGTGATAGAGGCCTGTTCTGAACCCCAAAGCAGCCTAATACTGTTTTAAAAAAAAAAAATCATCTAACATTTTATCCATTGCATCTCCCACTTCAACATTAAATGCACCACATATCAAGAATCTGATTAGTTGCCACTTGGTTTGCATAAATTTCGTCCAGAATGAGAGAGCAGAGAGGTGCATCAGTGTGATGGGTCAGTTATATGTATACATAGTTGTCTCTTGCCTCATTATAGTGCAATTTGACACACTGTGTTTGATGTAAAGTATCAAAGAAACCAAAATGAAAAAAAACCTAAATAATTTAGAATGATGTCATTGTTTACATCACATATATGCTGCTTAAAATTTCAGCACCCCCAACTTTAAACACAGTCCCTCGTCCCTGATAAACTCTGTTAGCTTTTAACTCCAAACTCTACTGTGGCTAGTTATGTATTCCCAGTTGGTATGACTGCCTTTTCTGTTGTGAGTTATGGGTTAGTGGATGCTTATATAGACTGTTACTGTTGTGTGTGAGTTTTAAGGGGTTGAGCTAGTTAACAGAAGCATCATGCTGTTGTGGGGTGTCCTCTCTTTGTTTGAAATATGCCCAAATCTCTGGTAAAACACAGCACCATATAACGCAAAAATACCCAAACTTGAATCTTCCCCTTTAAATACAACAATAAAATAATGACGGGTTTTTAAACCAGTGGTAAATGTGTTTTTACCCTCATTGGGGGCTGTTACTGTGGTAACTTGGCTAACTGTCACCGGACACAGGCCTAATCTAAATTTTAATTCATTTTTGTACTCAGCAGATGTGATGTATGTCTAACAAAGCTATAATAACAAGTTTATGGCAAATATAATGGTCCATAAAACCCAGTCCCTGAGCTTGTAGCTGTCTCAGTTGTAGTGCAGCAGAGTAAATGAGGGGAGGTTTACCGGGGGACAGCTGGAGATACCCACGCCTCCAAAGAAGAACTCCTCTCCATACACCACTATGGAGGTATGCCTGCATGAGCAACAGTGATATGAAAACAGCAGTTTAAACTATTATTACATGCTGTTACACCACCAAAAAAAATGCAATACAAAGGAATTTGGCTAAGATACAAACTGCAGCCTGGCACAACTTACCAAATTCCGTCAAGCTGCTTCCCTGTAAATATAAATAAATAAATAAATAAATTAAAACCAAAAAAAAGCAAATTAGAACACAATTTTGACTTTTGCAAAGTGAGGCAACAAAACCTTACTTTGCCATGTGTTATTTAAAGTAAGAAAAGTTAGTACTGTCAAATCATCAGTGACCATTCGACCACAAAAAAAGCAAAAAAGTGGTAGTCATTCTTCTGTCTTATGCACCAAGACACTACAGTCATGAACGAAAACCCTTCAAAGCTGCTAAACATGTCAGCTAATTTATGTTTATTTATATCTAATAAGTATATTAGTATAAATAGCATATGCCACAACATACAAAGTGTCCAGATATTCACATTTCTCTCAAGGAGCTCTGAAGTCCTGAGAGTGTAAATGAGTTTCTTTTCATTTAGTTTTGCAACATCACTGCTGCCATAGCAACAGCTGGCAATGTTAACAGTTAGGTTACATGAAATTAAAAGTCCTTGATTCTGATGCTTCAAATGTGCTCAACAAAACAATCAGCTAATCTTTGAAGCGTTCTTTGCGTCCCTTGCAAGAGATTTACAGTATTGTGGAAAAGTCAGAGAGTACCCTTCATTAACTAAATTTTCAGTCAAAGTATTCGGTACAAGTTATTAATTTTTCAGATGAGATGTTTCTGGGGAGATTAGATATAAGATAGTCCATAATGAAGGGAAAGTCAAAAGAAATAAATGAAAAAATAGGAGTTTTCAAACTATAGTTCAAAAAATAATTGAAAGATACAGAGAAAATGGGACTCCTAATAACCGTACAAGACCTGACAGACCACCAAATCTGTCACCAACAGATAAACAGTCCTTACAGCTTTCTGAATATAATAAACATTGTTGTATGATATGACCATTGATATACAGCACTGTGTAGCCATGAAAGCTGTTGAAAATGATTTATATTGGTAGTAGGCAAGGCAAGTTTCTTAATATGGCACCTTTCACAAACTGTGGCCATTCAAAGTAAAGCAGAAAATGAGAAAATACAAAGATAATTCAAATTAAAACTGAAAACATAGAAGAACATAAATTAACAACATGATTAAAACATGATTATACACAATAGATTTAAAATAATCCTTAAATTAAAATTCAAATTAAAAATTAAATGAATAAAGTGCCATTAGAGGAGAGAAGTGCAGTAGAGCTAACAGTGTTTTAAACTGAGCTGAAAGCTGCTGGAATGTTTTCAGGGATCACTCTTCTAATGCTCTGCTAACCGGTTCCATTTAAGAGCGGCACAGTAGCTGAACGCTGCTTCACCATGTTTAGTCTTTACCTTTTGCAGGACTGACTAGTTCCTAATGATTTGAGAGTTCTGCTCGGCTCATATCACTGCAGCATATCAGATAAATACACTGGTCTTACACCATTAAGCGATTTATAGACTAGTAACAGTACCTTCAAGTCTATTCTGTAACAGACTGGCAGCCAGTGTACGGATTTAAAAATGGGGGTGATGTGTTTCCTTCTTTACTCCTAGCGAGACTCTGGAAGCTGCATTTTGAATCAAATGAAGATCCAGGTCTGGTTTAGTCAGACGATTTGTAATCTTGTTGACGTTCTTAAGCTGATTAAAATGCTGATTTAGTAACTGCTTTGACATGACTGCCTAAACTAAGATTAGGTCCAAGAGGTAAGTGTGTTAATGCCAGTAAAAACTCCACTAATTGCATGGATTTGTTCAATTCCATATGCAGCACACCTGATTTAATTCAGTAAATGACTGCTAAGGTAAACTAGGTATTGGATGGTAACTGTAAACACTGGACTTCTTTAAGGAGAGCTTTGGAAATGGTTAAAGAGAAATTCCACCAATCTTTGAAAATTTCTGCATAATTAAACAGTTAAGATGTGAGAAAAGTAATTCATGGTGGTTTTGTGTAAAATGCTCTTTTCTAGAGAAACCTACAGAGTCAGAACTGTTCACAGTGGTGGTGATAAGAACTTCACAGAAAGTTACTGCATGTAATGTTTATGAATACACTACCTAATGCCTGAGAAGCTGAGTAGTTTTGTGATAAAGCTTTGGCCTAAACATCTTATTAATCTATTTATTTTAATCCATTCATGGTTTAGGGATATATGTAGGGCGTTGTCAGGCAAAATAGTCCCCAAAGAAAATGTTTTTTTTTTTCAGAATTTCCACTAATTTACCATTAATATTACATATAAAAACTCAGAAGACATACATAGGTGGTATTGGATAGTAAATAAAATGTTTATATTTGTGTTGTGGACATTGCAACCCATGTTTCCCATCACTAACACTGTAAAGAAATCAGAGTCTGTAACTGTCTCTACAACAAGCCATTTTATATTAAACTACATTGAATGACTTTGTCTACATTAGAACAATGGGATTATGCAAAAATTTTGAAAAGTTGGTGGAATTCCCCTTTAAGCTAACACACATCAAATCACAAAGTATTGTTTATTTGTATTTATGTTTATGTTTATTTATTTACTACACTATGTTTTTTTACTATAATCTGACAATAACAACTAAATGACTTATTAATAACATATATACTATGAAACAAAATGCTTGTTCTCTCATTGGTAGAGAGGGTGGTGTTATGGTGCTCACAGGCCAAACTTTGGGACAGTCCTGCTTTAAGGCATTCCCATTTCTTTCCTTTTCATTTATTTTAACGTTTCAGCAATGTTACAATATTTATCTTCCAGTAAAAGAAGCTTAAGCAACTCTCTGTGATAGACTAGGGCTCCACTGTAGGGATCAGGGTGCACTAATACACATATTTTCAGGTTTCATATGATGTTCGATTCTGAGGTCAAGATTTGATCTGATTTTTTATATTTTATGTGTGAAAATGTCTTGATTTGATGGAGATATAATTATATGACTTACTACACAGACTGGCTTGGCTCAGGTAAATAAAAAACGTGCCACCCTTTAACAAAGTACATCGCAAGAATCACCCGTAGACTTGAACAGAAAAATAAACAGTCATTTGAGTGAGAGTGCATGCATGACGTAAGCCCTGCCCTTATTACTCTGACAGGATAAATCCAGATGTCTATCAAATGAGACGGCAAATGAGAGACACTCAAAAAGGAGGAGCGTATCAGAAATACAGTTTTACGTTTTGATACACGGTTTTAAATTTGATTTATTTTAATTGTACTGGAATCATTCCACACTTAATATACATACTTAGAAAAGATGATTCTTCAAGGTTGTTTAGCAAAGGCAATAGTTCTATATAGAACCTTTTGCACGCTTAAATGGTAGGGGTGGGCATCACAAAAGACCCTGCGATATGGTATTATAATTATACTTAAGTCACAATATTATTGCGATTTTGAAGATACTGCAATATGCTGAGCATTGTGATAACATATATTGCGATTTATTACATTTTTTTCAACTGCAAATACAACCACCAGGTTCTTGTCAGCAATTTCCCATTCTTGTGCCACATTTTGCAGGAGGTCTGCAATGGTCTCACATACATATTTTTGAGCATGTGACAAAAGCCTTTGTTTTCTATGATGTTGTATGAATGCAGGTCTTTGCACATGAAGTAGGTAATAGATTTAGAATTGGAAGAATTGGAAGGTAGCTTTGTCAAGCTAAGTGTGTTCAGTTTTGTTTGGTCTTTTTGTTGGAGCTGATCTAACATTGGCTTTGCCATCAACAAAGCAGTCAGCTTCTCATATGCCTGTTTCTTGTTCAAATTTTCCATTTCACCTTGAACTATACAGCTTTTATTTTCTGGCTACTGAATTCTGGGGCACCAGAATATAACTGCTGCACCATTTAAGATGGAACAGGAAAATCTGAACAAGAAGTAGGCATATAAGAAGCTGAAAATTCAAACAAGAAGCTCCCTCTTACCCCAGTGAAACAAGAAGTTATGGGTGACCACTAAAGAGGTTGTAGAACTATTATTTTACGGTGCCTGAGGCCAGTAACTGCTGCACCATTTAAGGTGAAACAAGACAATCTGAACAAGAAGCTGATGAATAGGACGCTGACTACAGCCTTGTTTGCCATGATCAGTTAACGTCATCTCTGGATGGTGGTGTATGAGGTGAGCCCCCATGTTCGCAGTATTTTAGTACTATTATAGTTTTTTTTTTGAGTATTTCATTTTCCAATGACATTCCTTGCAAATCCCATGTCATATCCATGTCCTTTGTCCCTCCGATGACCTCAACAGAAATAAAATCATCACCATCTTGTGGACTGAAAAAGTAAGCAAACTTAATCTGTTCATATTTGCCATTTAATAAAATATCAATACTTGGCATCTGTGCATTGATACGATATTGCCTGTAAAATATCGTGATAATATGCTGTATTGATTTTTCCCCCACCCCTACTAAATGGTTCCTTGCATGGTGAAATGGTTCTTCAGATTATTGGAGAATGTGCTGTATATGGTACTTTATAGAACGTCTATGAAAATGGTTCTATATAGCACCAAAAGGGTTCTTCTGTTATTACCTAAGCCTTTTTGGTGCTATACAAAACCATTTTCAAAGATATATACAACACATTCTCTGGTAATCTTAAGAACCATTTCACCATGCAAAGAAATAGATGGTTCTATTTCAAATTCAAGATCCTAAATAGAACCATTCCCTTTACTAAAGAACCCTTGAAGAACCCTCTTTCTTAAGTGTGTATAGTCAGTTTGGAGATGTAGTACAAATACTAAATACGAGGTTTATCGTTTTCAAAAATCTTCATTGGTTTCTCTAGTAAATCTGTTTTTCTCTTAAAGGGAGTCTAGTATAGTATAGTGGATCTCCTGTTCTCTCAGCCATGGTCCAATCAGAGAGCTACCTGGGTTCCTTTTACTAGAGAACATGGGTTGTTCATCCAAAGAGACACAGCAGTGTAGGCTACACATCTACATGTTGAAATGGATCATTCAATTCCCTACAATAATAAGAATATTAATAAAATAATCCGTGTTACATGGCTGATATTTCAGTTTTACAGCCTGTCATACTCATGTTAAAGCAAAAACCTATTTTTTTTTTTGGTTGTAGTGACCAGACTGTCTGTGAAATGAAGGCAGAGGTCAGCAGCACCGGTGCTGTAGCTCTCTGTTGCTCTGTCCATCTATTCAGCATCCTTATCGTTGATCACTGTGTTTTCCTCACCATCGTCCACTAAGCACGATATGAAAATGCGCATTATCTTCACTCACCCAGCATTATAGGGCTCAGCTGGCGAGCCATCCCCCTCGACAGATCATAAATATATAGCTGGACTGGAAAAGCTGTGCCGTTAGGATCCATGCCGTGTTTGTGATGAGGTGGTGAGCAGCTGCAATAAATACGCAGTCGGTAAAATCAAGTTCTTCTACAGACAAACGTCTGATTTTGCGTTTTTCTCTGCTATCTGAATTAATGTCACTGTGAACGCAACTAACATAAGGGGTTTATAAATAACCTACTTGTATACGGTCATCAGCATCTGCCCTAGTGTCCGACTGAACGACATTACAGCACCCTCTGCTGTTCAGGAGTCAGGCAGCAGTTCTCGCTCTCACCCACCAGGGGGCAACAAAACAGCGGCAATTATTTTTTTCACTTTTTAATACACAAGTACACAATTGGTTCAAATAATGAAAAACTTGTGGAATTTTCCTCGCCTTTTAGAAATAAATTAGTTTGATGTAGCATGTCAATACTGTTAACGTTTCAAAACACTCTGTTTTCTCCCTAATCTGGTGCAAAACTACGTGGCAAAAACACATAGAAGTTAAAAAGGAGTGTTTGAGCCTGGAAAGCCAATCACAACAGAGAGCACTTACATATACCTGCCTTAAAGGCAAAAGAACAAGTATAGATAAAAGACAGGTTGGGAGTCATTTGAAAATGGTCATGTAAAAATAATTGACAGGTTTTTGTTCATGAACCCACACAGGCTACATCTTAGAAGTGGACCTCAAGGTAAATAATAATAATAAAACGTAAGAAAATATGGACCCTTAACTGTGCACTTTATTGACTCTTCAGGGTAGGTTTGGTATTATTTGTTATTTTTTATTCTTGTTAAGCTAGGCTGTATATTTTATATTTTGAGTAGATTGTTTTTAACGTCTACTGTAGATAAAATATTGTGACGTGAAAAGGAGCTTAAATGAAGTTAAATGAAGTATGTGTTATTTTTATTTTCTTGTGTTGGGCTTTGGTGAGATATTGGGGTTTAGTGTGTCTAGGAGGAAATGTTTGGCTAGAAGTGACCTACCTGCTCCCTGGCTGTGTTTGAGTTAAAGGGGAACTCCACCGATTTTGCAAAATTAGTTATTCATTCAACCGTTTATATGTAAACAAAATCATTCAAAGTGGTTTGGTTTGAAATTTGCCCAAAGCAGTGGGCAGCCCTATCCAGAGCGCCCAGGGACCAGTTAGGAGTTAGATGCCTTGCTCAAGGGCACTTCAGTCATGTCCACTAAAGACGGTCACAAGGCTGGTTCCCTAACCTCCAGCTCACGACTGACCCCAAAATGTGCCCTTTCTCTTTGGGTAACTAAAAGAGCACTTCTCATGGCAGATTTAATGGCCTCTCCCGCATCTCTTTCTACGCCGACACCACCATGGTGTCAGAAATGGGATAGTGCCGCCTAGGGGCAAGAAGTAGAATGGTGCTTCAGCAAACTTACAGATGAATGCTGAAGAAGAAGGGAAGATGACGAAAAAGATGGCGAAAGGAAGATGGTGATAGAGAAGCTGGCAGAGTGCAGAAGAGGCTGGTGGAAGGCCTACTCTGCACAGCTACAAAAGACCGCCTGGTGTCATGGCTGGATGGCGGCCATCACAGCGATTTAGCTGTGCCTGGCCCTGGAAGGAAAACAGCTTGCTGCAGTCGGCCTTAAAGAGTCCTTTGTTGAGGTGGAGAAAGCAGAACCCACCCTCAACGTGGAAGCTCCATGGACAGCAACACAGTGCTACACAGCAGAGGAGCCTGGGCGGGTGATGATGTGCAGAGCGGCCCCCAAGTGAGCAGTGGGAGAGAGACTGATGAGCTGGCAATGCAGGAAGAGGAGACATCGCACCAGACAATACTGCAAGCCTGAGCTGTCAGGGAACCCAAGGCCACCCAGGAAGATCAGTGGCCAATGTGGACTTGAGGTCAAGGGCAGCATAAACAGCAGATGGCTCACCATCGACCCGGGCTTGTTTCCCTGCTACAACCAAGCGTACTCCCACACACCAAGAGAGGCACATCAAAGAGCTGGGAAGCAACCACCATCCAGCTCAGGTCAGTCACCAGTGGCCAAGTCCACCTGGAGGTCATCCTGGGGGAGGCCAAGTACACAAGTTCTCAAGTTCTGGCTTGCACCTATATGGGATGTGTGCATACTCAGCTTAGATTTCCTAAGCCCTGGTCAATCTGAGGAAGACACGCTGGGCTTGGAAACAGGACAAGTGAAGCTGATGGCAGTGGCTAGCAGAGGAGCTGAGGCAGACAGTCGAGGCAGTGCACACAAGCAGCATCCTCTGGCGCATCAATCAAGAAGACACCCAGTAAGCTGCAGTTTGGCTGCCCACCAGGGTCAGAGGAGGATGGCGTGCCCAGGACAGGGTGTACCAAGGACTGGTGTGCCAAGGACTGTGTGCAGATGACTGGGGGCATGCACTGCCAAGATCAGGTACTCCTTGGCACTTGTGCTGCCCGGGATGTTGCACGTTCCAGGGACTCGTGGTATACAAAGCTCTGTCCCCAACTCTGTGAAAGAGACAACTCTTGCTGTTGTTGTTTAGTTAGTTTAAATGTAGTATGTGTTATTTGTGTTTTATTGTGTTAGACTGTTTTACCATAAGGAGAAAACAAATGGCTTGAAGTGGCCTGCCTGCTCCCCAGCTGTTTGTGCGCATTTTGTGCTTGTGTAAATAAAAGAGCATTTCTTGTGTCAGAAATAATGGCCTCTACCTCGACTCCTTCTATACCAATGCCACAACATGAATTCACTATGAAATTTTTAATAAACCATTTTCACGCTTCTGTGTTTGTTAATGCAGAAGAGTAAATAGTAGTGTTAAAAGTGGCTTCCAGTGGCGCTGTACACAATGGGTGATACTGCCTGAAATCATTGCTGTGTTCCTAAATGCACCAATAATCCAATGAAACAGCCTTACCTACATTTTCACTTGATCAAGTTTAAAAAGTTTAACTTCAGCTGAAAAGCTCTGCTCATCATGTATCACTTTTAAAGAGGTAACCGATCAAAAAAGGAGGTAAAATTTAACTAGAGAGCGAATGTGGGTTGTACAGCAGCACAGATTTACTCACATATGTGATTAAAAATGCTCAGCTATAAGACAAATATTTATTCACTGGCATTTTTACAATCCTGGAGATGGTTATCACAGAGGTTTGCTTAATAGACTCCTCACCACAGTAGCTTGGTGATTAGTTTACTGTAATGTAGAAATACAATGCTGTGTCTCTGTGCTGGTTGTGGTGTTCAGGGCACTTGCTAATGTTGCAAATGTTCACAAGGGCTGAGTAGAAAGGATTAAACCTGGGGGACTTTTTCTCCAAAATGAAGCGCAGTAAGTGCAAATCTGTTTAGAGATGTGTGATGTGGTGTTGAACATAAAGATCTGCTCTGCTGCTTTTCTGCTTTGCAAAATTTCCTCAGGGTTCAGACACAGATTTTTGCGGAATACGTTCTGCCACCTGAATGCAGCTGCCCTGACTCGAAGATATACTTTTAAACGTGGGGTACGCAGCACAGTCGTCTGCCAGAGTGTACTCCATTTACCGGGCTGCCCCTGAGCTCAACATAGTGGTAAACAGAGTCCTCAGCGGCAGACACACAGGGTCATACAAAGTTCAGAAGTTTTTAAGTTTTGTGCAATGGGCTTTGGCCAAGTCAAACTAGCCATGTTGGAGGAATTACCTGACATGCCAACTGCTCTCCTAATAACCACACTGAAGACAAAGAAAGTTTTTTGAAGGATGCTAAAAACCGACGAACCTCCGTTGCCGGCTTGATAACACAGTGAAGGCGGAAGTTCGATAACGCTACTCTTTACAGCCGGATGTGACGATGCAGATACTGTGAAAAAGGCCTATTTGAAGTTGTTTTTTTTATGTTTAATGTTTTAAAATTTCTGTAATAAAACGAATAGTCCCAGTCCTAAAATCTGATTGGTTGAGCTGCATTCAAAACGAATATATGCACACTATGACCTCCTCACAACAACTGAACTCTGTATTACTGCGCCACAGAACAAAAATCCCTTGTGCCGTTAATGGAATAAGCTTTGACTCTCATGCTGCTCACATGGACCACCGAGTGTACTGATGAAGTAAGAACCTGCTTTTTGTTTAAACTGAAGGGGCTGGCAACTTATTTTCTTAACTAGAACTAGGCTGGTCAGCTAGCTAACAGGCTAAAAGATAGTCAACAGCCTAAATAACTCCATTATTAATATCACATCTTTCAATTAAAGTACTTGTGATGTGATTGCCTGTAAAACTGCAATATAAAAGTTTAAAGCATGTCACCTGAATGGATTACACGCTTCAAATGTCTATGTTTTAGTCAGAAGTTGCGTCAAGCCCAGGCTGAATCCCAAACACCATGTGTACTCCGTAAGTAGCTTGCTAGTTATGGAGGTTTTAAAATTCGAGCTTCTGCCAACAAATGGTGTGCTATTTGTCAAGTATGGATGTGGCGGAATCCCAAATTATTTTTAATAACTATTTTTAGTTTTATTATGCACAGTTTAATTCCTATGTCATGTGCTATGTAGGGAGCAGGGAGCCATTTGAGATTCAGCCCCAGCGTGGTAAGAGGGGTTGAGATTGAAGAATGTTGGATTGAGGCTTTATAAGACTCGGGGTGGTGCTTTACTGTTGGATTGAGGCTTTATAAGACTCGGGGTGGTAATTTGGTGTTGGATTGAGGCTTTATAAGACTCTGGGTTTTAATTTGGTGACCAAAAAGTACTTGTAAAGTGAAGGTTTTTGCATTAAACAGTGCTATGTTACGATATGTTCATTGTTATATGACAAAAAGTTAAAAAGTTAATAAAAATGACAGCAGCCATGGGCGACCAAACCTTCTCTTCTTTCAAGGGTTCATGGTTGCTTGGCAACCATACCACACCTAAAGGAACTACATTTCTTGGTGGAATACTTGTATATGTTGATTATTAATCATAATAACTATTCTATTATATAGAATTATAATAACTATTCTATTATATAGAATTATATTCTAAAAAATGTGTATTTTATCATGTTTTATGTTGGCCGCCATTTTATAAAAGCAATAAGCCAGGAGAGGCCGTACAGTACTTTGATTTTTTCTCAGGGAGGGGAGTTTTAGGCACTCCGCTTCACGTCGCAGTAACGCACGGCCTTAAGTGGCTTATTGCTTTAAAATAAATCGCAATGAACATTAGGAAGCAGACAGGGCCAAAAAAATCTCAAATCCAAATTTTGACTTTTCTTTTTTCCAGTATATGTCATTTTAAACATAGTTTTAGAAATGTATTGTAGATATATTGTAATGCAACAGTATTACATGTAATTCCAAATCAAAATTAGCTCATATAAAGATACAAAGTCTGCTGTAGCAAAGAGATATTTTGCTTTGATCTGCATTATGCGCAACAAGAGCTTCACAAATCCATTTTATTCTCAAATGAAAACACAACTGTAATTGGGAACAGAACTTACGTCATGGCCTTCCCCGCGCGCGTGTCATACCTGTGTACTGTTTTTTTTTTTACCATTATCAGACTGGGGGAACACTGGAGGAGGAAGAGAGGCCAACGAGAACAATGAACACGCTGAGGCCATTAAATGACTCACCACTCAACCCCCCCTCTGGTCCCTTCACTTACAAGAACAGGCCCACCTTTTCCTGCATTTGCCCCCCCACTTTCCTCCCCCCGCGCGCGAGGAAAGTATGTTCACAAAACAAAATGAAACAGAATTAAAACAATGAATGAATGAATAAATGAATGAATGAATGACTGAATACATAAACGGTTGCTCATATTTTTTAACAAATAAATAAATGTTAGCACAAATAAATATATAAATAAATACATGAGAAAGAGACACCAAACTCCTTGGATTATACACATAAAACGACCTAAATGCTTTATTACACAAAAAAGCTTTTTATATATTTTTTTTTTTTGTTGCTGTTGTTTGGAGCTGCTCCTCGCGCTCCGTCAGTGCAAACGAAACAGAAATCGGACACGAATCCTGTATTTTAGATTATTCGTGAAATGTGGGCGTCATCTCTTCTGCTGTGATTCAGTTCCAACTGTTTCAGGTGTTTCGGCCCTCGCGCTGTTTCAGTTCTGTTTCTCTGTTTTCTGTTTTCTCTCTGCTGCAGTAAACAAAACCGAACACCAGGGGGCGCGCGCACAGAACTTTTCCCCCCAAAGCAGCGCGAGAGGGAGCGAGATCGTGAGTGTGTGTTTAGTGTGTGTGTGTGTGTGTGTGTGTGTGTGTGTGTGTGTGTGTGGCGTGTGTGTTTAGTGTGTGTGTGTGTGTGGAGTGTGTCGCAGATTTTAAAAACTCTCAAGGCTGGAAGCGATTCCGAAAATGCTAGGAACGGAGCGCGAGGCCGAAAAGGACAAAGAGAGAGAAATAGAGGAGAGCAGAGTTTAATACTGGGCTCTGAAAACCGAGAAAAATAGAGAAGAGGAGAGAGAGAGAGGGAGAGAGAGAGTGTGTGTGTGTGTGAGAGAGAGAGAGAGAGAGAGAGAGAGAGAGAGAGAAGGGGGAGAGAGTGAGTGGAGATAGACTGAGAAAGAGAGAGAGAGAGAGGGGGGGAGGGAGAGAGTGAGTGGAGAGAGACAGTGAGAAAGAGAGAGAGAGAGAGGGAGCGAGTGACTGAGAACGAGAGAGAGAGAGAGATAGAAAGCTGTAGAAAGTCGTAGTGCGCGCTGCGCTGCTGAGCTGAGCTGGTCCGGATGGAGCTGTCATCGCTCGGCGAGCAAGTGTTCGCTGTGGAGTCCATCACCAAGAAGAGGGTTCGGAAGGTAAGAACGAACAGATAAACACGGAAACGGAACACAGTCACTTCAGTTAACTCTGTTTACATCGCGCGTTCGGGTTACGTTTGGAAGTGCAGGACACTTTTACACCCCACCCCCCCCCCGAGCATCTTCTGCAGCGGGGACGTTTGGAACTTTGTTGTTGTTGACTTTCTTTACGAAAAATAATAAATAAACAAGTAAAACGCGCGCGCGGAGAAGCTCCCCTTTTCAGTCCACTTTTATTGCACTTGTGCACGAATCGGAGGTGCGCGTGCGTGCGCGTGTTTTTGTGAACCCATCAGAGTGCGTGTGTCATCGCTGTCGATGTGCGCGCGTGCGGGTGTGTGTGTATATAGGTGCGTGCGCAAGTGCAGTGCGTGTGTGTGTGTGTAGGTCGAACTCGCTGCGCTCTCGTCCGCGCGCTCAGCTCAGAACGAGTGTGCTACGCAGTTTTTATTTACACGCGGGTCAAGGCCCAGCTGCTGGAGGACGCGCTGAGCGCGCGCTCGAGCAGGACGCTGAAAAAACACAACAACAACAATAATAACCGCGTGTTTCTAAATTCAGTTCTAGCTGCTCGGCTCGTGCGCGCGTGTAAGCCCAGTGTGGGTGTCCGCTGGCTGCTGCAGGGCGGTGCTGTTGTTTTTGTTGCTGGTGTTGTTGGTGACTAACAGCCAGAGCTGCATGTGCGATCGTGCAGCAGCAGTAAAGAGGGGGCGGGGCCGCCTTGCGCAATCGCGGGGTTGTTTACGCTGTCGCCGTGGCCCCGCCTCCTCCATCCCATAAACGTTCTAGAATCTGCGGTTTGATTCGAGATCTCGAGCGAGCGCGCGGGCACACGCCCCCCTGCCTCGCGCCTCGAATGGAACGGAATGGAATGACGTCACCGCCGCCGAGTGCTGCTCTTCAGCTCTGCGTTCGGCAGCGCGCGGTGCGGATTCCGCGCCTTAAAGGGACAGAAGCTCTTTAACAGTGACGCACGTGCTGCTGTTTCATCTCTTCTCCCATTCTTTCTCGCTCTTTCCATCTGTTTTCCCTGTGTTTATCTTCCTCTCTCCCTTCTTATCCCACTGGCTTTCTTTTTCTTTATTCATTTCTCTCTTCTCCCTCACTCTTTCTGTCTAATCTTTCTCCCTCACTCCATCTGCTTTCTCTCCCTCTTTTCATTTTTTTCCCTCACTCCATGTGCTTTCTTTCGTTCCCTTTCTTTCTTTCTTTCTTTCTTTCTTTCTTTCTTTCTTTCTTTCTTTCTTTCTTTCTTTTTTCTCACTCCATGTGCTTTCTTTCTATCTTTGCTTCTTTCCTTTTTCCCTTACTACCTTTCCTCTTTCCATCTCCTTTTTTTGCTCTCGCTCTCCCAGTCCATCTGCTTTGTCTCCCCTTTTAGATCTTCTCGTTCTTTCTTTTCCCCCTTCGCTTCATCTACTTTCTTTGTCTGTCTTCTCGTTCTTTCTCTTTTTCCCTCACTCCATGTGCATTCTCTCCCTCTTTCCATCTCTTTCTCTCTCACTCTCTCACTGTTCCCTCTCTGGCTGTGCTGCTATTAAGAGCAGCTGAAAGTTGAATGTTTTCTACAGGCTGGTGTAAAAGGTTTCAGTCATTAGTGGATAGTGTGGGTGTGTTATGATAAAATGATGATGATAATTTTTAACTTGTAAAGTGAAAGCAAAACACTTTTTTTACTCTGATGTTCTCTCTCTATTAGGGAAATGTGGAATACCTACTGAAGTGGCAAGGATGGCCCCCAAAGTAAGTGGATTGCATTGAAAAAATTAGCCAGACAGACTGTCAGACAACTTGTACATGATTATGGCCAAGAGAACTAAAATGGTATCAGGTGTGCTGTGAAAGAGCAGGGGGTCTGAACTTTTTCATGCCAGGACCCACTTTAAGATATAAATGCATTCAAAAGGCTTTCTAGGAGTTAATTGTGTGCTGGAAATTTCAAATAACATGAAATTCACAAGCAAAATGTTAAGTATCAAAGCGTCTAAAATAAACTACAAATACAAATAATAATCAAACTTAATTTCTCAAAAAGATTACAACATTTTACTCATTTTGGTGTAAAAAGGGCATTCACATGCACTGTCCGTTGGTCAACAGATTTGGAGTGGCAGGTCTCCTGACACATAGCCACTCCCACTTAGTGAGCGCTTTTTGAAAAGTCATTATTATACATTAGAAGCAATACACGGCAGCAAACCTGAATCTTTCTGCAACAGCTGTGCTTATACACACCAGTCGTAAGTGACAAACAAAGAGTTTTTTTGTGCTTCTAGTGGAATGCAGCTCGCAGCAAACAGCAGAAAAATAGACTAGAAGTTTTGAACACAGTGATCACACAACCTAACTGCACTGCTGTTGTGGAGGAACAAAAAACATGCACTGATGAGGCTTCCTCGCAACCCGGTCGTCCCCCAGACTCAGACACTACCAGTTGGTCCTGACTCACAGTTTGAAAACTTATGCTGCTACACTTATGCAGTAACATTCGCAGCCCTTACACGGTTAACAGTCACACGCACTGAGCAAAAAAGTTTTAAGCCATTGCACATAATACTGTGCAAAAGTCAGAGACCACCCTTCATTTATGTAATTTCTAGATAAAATAACCATTAAGTACAAGTTACCAATGTTTCAGTGGCAGGACGAAAGCAGAAAACATTTATTCATAAGCATATTTACACATCATTTATACAGAAGCCTGTCTTTATTACAGCTTCTGTACTTTTCAGGATACTTGCTTTCAGTATTGTTTTCAAGAAATGTGCAGGGATGTTTTTCCACTTCTCCAAAGTTCAGTCTTAGAAGTTGGTTGCATTTTCCGCTTCTCATAATCCAAGATCTTGCTTATTTTCCTTACATATGCAAATGGATTATCATACATTTAATCTTCTTAGAAATATCAACTAAAATATCAATAACATTTACTTATTAGGTGGTTTGACTGGAAACTAAATAAATTAAGGCTGGTCTCTGACTTGACTGGTGGAATAGGCTCCAGCTCCCCCCGTGACCCAGAAGGATATGCAGCTTAGAAGATGTGTGTGTGTGTGTGTGCGTGGTCTCTGACTGCATGGTCTCTGTGCAAGGTACTACATTTGACACTGTGTGTGTATATGTGTTTGGCAGATACAGCACATGGGAGCCAGAGGAAAACATACTGGATCCTCAGCTTGTTCTTGCCTTTGAAGAGAAGTGAGCATCTCTCTACTGGAGCAACTTCATTTGTTCATTTATTTGCATTCATTTCAAAGGCATCACAATCATTATCATACACTTCTCCCCCTCTCATTTTCATTTGGTCTTCATTGTTATTTTTTTCCTTGTTCTTGTCTTTCTGTCCTGACAGGGAGGAGAGGGACAGAGCACAGACTCACAGGAGGAAAGGGCTGAGGCCCAGGAGACTAATCTTACGGGTATGAAGAACTTACAAGTTGTTTTGGTAACGCTTTATCTGAAGGCTGCCTACATAAGGACTACATAACATATGCATAAGCAGTGAATAACATAGTTGTAAAGCAGCATGAGTATTGATTACTTATGTCACTAATTGCATGTGTTTAATGAAGTTTATTTAAACTGACACTGTATTGACTTAAAGGGCCACAGAACTGATATATAGTGTTTGTAACCAGGCCTCTGCTTTATAAGTTCCATTACTTTTGAATGATGCTTCATAGCAGTGTTACAAATACAACAGATGTCTGCCACAGATCCTTTATGTCAATATAAATGTCATTAACCTTAATGAAACATCTTATGATTAGCAGCATAAGCTGTTTATAAGTATTCATGTCGCTGATATCGGAAAACAAAACCTCATATCTCCTTTTTTGTTACGTTGTACTTTTTTAGAGTTTGAAAATGGCAGCTCTTCACAATATTCTAAGATTTTTATGATGAGTTGACCAAAAGAATTGCTCCATAATTACTTGAAAAAATCTAGTTCTATTAACTTCCATTCAAAATTAAGAATATTTCCTTTATCCTTTAAAGTTTCCATTTCGGAGATATGAGGTTTTGTTCTGGCACCAGCGATATATTTATAAATTATGATATGCTACATACTCTCAGTGGCCTTTTATTAGAAACATCAGTAACAATTTACTGTAGAGCAGTGTTCATAAGGCTTCATGACACCTAGATAAACTTGTCATGACAATTGACTTAAACCTACAAAAGCATTTATAAATGCTTATTCCTATAGCCGTTGTCAAGCTGGTCAAAACAGCATTTTCTTGGCTTTTAGGTAAACCTGTCATACAGGCTTTGATGTCAGTTGACATGAAAGCCTGTATGACAAATCTATGTAGGCTTATGTCAGTTGCCATGAAGGGCTGTTACAGGTGTCTTGTAGTGTTATGAACACGTCCATACAGTAAAGTTTTGCAGAGACACCTACCTTGTAGCTCCACTTTGCTGTAGAGAATATAGCCCTTCTTTTGATGTTTCTGACCACAGAGCTGCTTTTCTGCTGTATATGTTTGGGTGGTGGACCACTCTCAACCTAGCAGTGACACTGACCCCAGTAACACCACTGTGCCTCATACATTCGTAGCAACACCGCACACAGTACCATTCCACTACCATGTCAGTGTCACTGCTTTAGCGGATTCAGCTACTTTCATTCATAAGATGAGCTGAGTTAACACATTTGACTTAACAAGATGAATGTAAGGAATCAGAAGATGCAAGGAAATCTGACCAACCTAGATTATGACCCCGGAATTCTCTAAGGACTCTCTCAACCCCCTTATCTGCCATCTTTTTCACCTCATGGTAGCATTGTGCAAGGGAGAAGGACCTGACCTCAGAACCATCGATGTTCTCATACCAACCCAGTGTGTCTGGAGACTTTTGACTTAACAAAAGTAAACTCTGGATACAAACTAAGGTTTATGGCTTGGAAATTCCCTCCTGGGTTCCCTCTATCTATCTCTCTTCCCCACACACATCTTATCATCTGACACCTCAGCCCTTTACAGCCATTGTGTGAGAGGAAGACGTCCGGCTCAAGAACCAAGATAAAATACACCATGACCAGATAATCCAGAGTCTACAACGCTAATGGACCCCCTCACAAAATCTCTTTTTTGCAAACACTCCGAGTGCATTCCATAAGTTAGAAATTCTCACAAAAAATGCAATACTCCAAGCATAATATAAGTTCTGCTGTAAACATCCACAGGAAACGTTAATATTAATTAGATAATGTACTCAGCATTTTTTTACTCTATGCTACGTAACTTCTTTGTCATTTAACCGTTGTTGAGAGTTTGTTATAGTGCTGATTAACACTAACTTTGGAAGTATGTCCTTAAGAAATCTCATTTCCTATTCTTAGTAATCATGTTTATTTTAGAAGTGGGATTGTTAGAGGTTTCAAGTAGTTTTATATAACCATTGTGTGAAAGGCTTCAAATAGGTTATATGTTCATTAGTTTCTATTAATATATACCTTTGAAACAGTAATAATGCTTATAAATGAAATTACATGCTTAATGTTCTTTTACTTAATGCTACGCAACCACACTCAGAAATCCAAAGAGTGTGCATATTCATTAGGAAATTGAGCACAAAACCCATTTTTTCCTTGCTTTAGTTCCACCCACAAGAGGTCTGTTCATATACCAGGACAGAAGAAGTAGTTAAGAGCTCATACCCATGCATTTTAAATCTGCAGATTTGTTTTAGTTTGTCGTGTCTTTGTTCAGTTCATTTTTTTATTGTCACTCACACAGTAACCTGACAGACATGTTGTTAATTATTAGACTCACCACATTTGCACGTTGAAGAGTCTAACTGAGCTGCGTTCGTTTTCAAGTTGTGTCAATTCATTGAAAAATACTGATTGGCCAGTGGTAGGTCATTGTGAAATCTGCAAGCGTAGTCCAAGAATTATGCTTAGAAATAAAACAGCGCCGACAAGTCATCACAGAAGTTTGCTTCAGCGGCCCGTTATTAACCTCCTGCCTGACGTCACCAGCCAGCCCCCGCAGAAGAACCAGAAGAGTCTGGCATCCTTACGAGAGGCCGGTCGAGCCAACTGATAGCCCGCCTTGCCCATCCAGGTCTGGTTGGATGCAACACTCTTGGGGTTCACCTCTCTAACTGCATCGTCCCTAACCAGGGATCATCAGGTCACGCATGCGCGGCACCAGGGGCTCTCACCCTCTACGAATACGCAGTAAGGCACTTTCACTTCTGTATATGATCAGACTCAAAGCTGTGTTATACTGTTCCCCTTTAATTTTGAACCTAGATTCTGTTCACTGCGCAAACCCCATAAACTATTTCTGAGTTTCAGCTAACCACAGTATGTTCATCCGGTGAATCTCATGTCTCTATTTTCTCTTTTGTAATCTATCCTTTGGTGCCTGTTTACCTTGTTATTAATAAATGACCCTTTATTAAAGTTATTATGTCTTTGGTTGTGTGTATAATTATCACAGTCTGATTAATCGATCAGTGACTACAGGAAAACCTTAACAAGAGAGGAACCCAAAAGTAAGTTGTGTTTATGATGCAATGGGAAACAGAATGATCCACTACCCAACTAATACCTGGTTAACAGCAGTCCTGTGGTCAGAAACCGACCAATGATCAGTGTAGTACTGGGTTGAGGGGGGTGGGTTGGGAAGGGTTCAAAATGCTGTACATCTGTTGGAAGAAAACCTTGTGTTGTGTTAAGTTCTTAATTTGTAATGTAAGTTAAATACAACTTTATAAGTAATTTTGGACCATTTCTACTAGTCCTTTTATCATGAAATTTTAACAAATGTAAAGCTAAGTTGGCAATTTTTATAGCTCTAATAATAAACATGTTAATCATGATATAACATTGGTGTTTATTGTATGGGTAAAGCCCATTCCAAACAACATATTACAAAACAAAAAAAAACTCTTGAAAGTGGTTTATGTGTTTTGGAATTAAACCTTTCCTCTGTAATTTTTCTTTTTCAAACAGAACATCTACACTATGGAACTACGAAGTGCTCACAAACTCCCGGAGAAGCCCACCCCCCGAATCCGCCTTTCACTCACCCGCTCTGTGGGGGCGGAGCTAGACCAGAATGGGCGTCGCTACAGGACAAGAGAAGGCGGAGTCTATTACCAAAGGCAAGAGAAGCGCAAGAGTAGGAACTATTCATCCAAACCGCCGGTCACTGCCGAAAATCCACGGCAACGACCTTTGACCCATAAAAAAGACATTATGGAGGAGGAGGAGTGGGAGGACGAGGAGGAAAAAGAGCAGGAGAAGAGAAAGAAAAAGAAGACAGAAAAAGACGATGAGAAAACAACAGACTCACGTCATGACATTCCAAGTGGTATGTGTAACATGGCATTGGCATGACAACTGTTGCTAAGATACCATGCATGTAGCATGCACTGAGGTCAGAGAGGCCATGCTGAAATCTCTGAGTTGTCACGACTCAAGAGTTAGCGATCTAAGCTAAATACAGATGGCTAACTCACTGTGAATACATCAGAGGAGGGGAAAAAAGCACCAACCACAGCACACATGAAGAAAAACACCAGTCATACAAGAGCTCTGTGCTCAAGTTCAGTCCCTCTGCCATGCAGCACTATGACGAAGCCCTACAAAACGAAAAACACATTCTGCCTAGAGATAGTTGGTGTGAGGATGAGGTGTCAGTGATCAGTTGGTTGGTGATCTAATGTTATGTAACATTTTCAACAACAACAACAAAAAAATCTGGCACGTTTTAAGTGTTTTTCCTCCACTGTTAGAGTCACAGCATCATCATTTCAGGCATTATCACCATCAGCAGGGTGAAGCTCAGTGGCAAAAACACTGCACACAGAGATGCCTTTCACAGAGCAGCCACAAACTCACGCACCCTGTGGTATGTGAACACATCAGCTTTATGAAACGTAGCTCTATATGAACGTTCTGCAGAGTTACACCCTGCTAAGCATGTACTGTTCTTTGAAAGTTACACCCTGCTAAGCCTCCTTCATGTGTTTTCACAAACTCCAGCTTCTTTCACATTAGAAGCTTTGTTGGTCGATTTGGACCTGATCTTTCTCCTTTGATGGTTTACATTCACATGTGTAAGTGACCCATATCTGTCCGAAGTGTGAACATTAAAGCTGCTGCTGACCCACTGCCCCCCATACTAGATGATGGCCATAGTGATGTGAGCATGTGCACTGAAAAATACAAAAAAAACCAAAACAATACAAAACCAAACAGAACAATTCTGATCTAACCGCTCTCATCATGGCTCAGATCTAATTGAAAACATCAGTGTTCACACTGCTCTGAATAAAACACATCTGTGAAGGATGCATTTGGGGTGTCAGAAGTGGGGCGGTACTAAATTGGGCTGTAACTATGAAAATGGTTGTAGCGTAACCATGGGAACACTGTAGCATAACTGTGGAAATGGGTGTATTGTAGCCATGGAAACAGTGCAGTGTATAACTTTGGAAATAGATTATAAACCATATCAGTGGTTTAATTTGACTTCAGATGGAATTTAATCAACCTATGTTATAATTCCATGTCTATAATCTGGATTATGATGGACAGTAAAAGTAGACACTGAAATAATGAAATAAGTCATATTAAGTCAGTGTTGTTTTATAAAGTACATATGTATATATATATATATATATATATACACACACACAAGACTTCCTTTTTATATTTGTGTACCTTATATATATATATATATATATATATATATATATATATATATATATATATATATATATATATATATATAATAAAGGTACACAAATATAAAAGAAGTCTTATGTCTTTTAATCAACACAGTATTTTGGGCACAACAAGAAATTATGAAATTATAATTTTATGTAATTATCTATTTAAAATCATGTTCTATGAAGTTCTTTCCTTCAAGATTTAATATTTACCTTTGAAATATGTTATGGATGTTTATTTTATTACAATTTCAATATTGAAATCTCAGTCATTTCAGCATTATCTATAGCTCCATCCATCACTTCTGGACAAATCTACATTTAGTTTCTTTTATCAGCTTCTTGAAACCTTCCAAGTTCACAAGACTGACATATTAAAACCATTTTATCTGCAACCAAATAGATTTTATTTTATTGAGAATATTAGTTTTAAATTGTGAATGTTTAAATATAGCAAAGAAAAAGCAGGATGAACAAATGTTCTCCACACCTCCATGCTTTCTTTTTCTGTTGTGGTTGTATATTGAATGTCTAGTCAATGATCTGACATGCATGAGCACCATAACACAGCATTAGCCTAAAGATTCTCTTTCTCTCTCAGCCCTAGAGATGACCGGAGGTCACACCCCCTCAGCAAAACAGGAAGCTGTCATCGTGGCCAACCAATCAGAACACTGCGCTTTGTCATGTGAATGCGGGGACCAGCCAACCAAGCATGTCCACACTGAGACCAGTTCAGTTCAGAGACTGACAGACCAATCAGCGGTCAGCACAATCACAGACACGCATGAGCCAATCAAAGACAGGTCAGGAGGCATGGCCTCTGCACCAGCATCACATAATGAGACTAAAATTAACCAATCATTGAAGAGCAGCTCAGAATCGGTTTATTCAGCAAAAGAAGTGGGTTTGACTGATGGGGTCCAAAAGCGAGCTTCAGTAATCTGCTTGATTGACAGCTGTATGCAGGGCCAGGTGAAAGAGGCAGGTCAGGCAGACATGTCAGTGGACAGTACGGAGAAAGAGACGGACGAGGATGAGGTCACAGCCGAGTGTACGACTACTTTACAGCTGAGTGCCGAGGTCAGGACAGACCAGTCGCAGGGCCCTGGCAGCACAGAGCATCCTGGGAAGGTGATTGTGACCGATGTGACGATTAACTGTGTGACTGTGACGTTTAAAGAGGCCATGACTGCAGAAGGGTTCTTCAGTGGCTACGGCCTGCAAGTCTGAGAGGCAGTGAAAAGGAGGAGACAGGCATCAGAATTACAGCTGTTGAGGGAACAGTTTGGCGAAAAATCAAATGTACACAAGTTCCCACTTACTCCCAATGTAGTCGATCGGCAGAGACGTTTCGAGTCCAAATTCTGCTTCTTTAGTTTAGAACTGGAGCAGCGAGGCTAACATTGCTAACACTAGAACCCAGTGGTCACCCAAATCATCAATGTAAAAATACATACATAAAATAAAGAATTAGGGGTAGGTGATAAGAAGAAATTGTCGCATCGCTCCTCTTTGAAGGCATATGATGCCCTAAATTTAACTAAAGGCCAGCAGTGAGGTTGCTGAACTTTACCCTTCTCTGCTATCACTGCAGGCTGGCAGGGTCGCCTACAGAGCACTGCTAGTAACCTTTTAATGAAATAATATTCTTTTTTCTTTATTTGAGAGTTGTCCCATTTTCCCATTTCGTAGGGAAAGATTTCAACCACTACTCTTTGTAACTCAGTTCCGAGGGACAAGGTGACACTCCAAAACAAGGGGTAGGGGTAAAAATAAGAAATGGGATTGGGCCCAAATCTGCACAACCTTAATAAAGACCTGGATGCAGTTCGAGTGGGCTGAAAGAAGTTTGGGTGATGTATTTTTACAGAAATTAATTGTGCTCTTTGGGTAACTATTTAGTTCTAGTGTTAGCAACATTAGCCTCGCTTCTCCAGTTCTAAACTAAAGAAGCACAATTTGGACACCAAACATGTCTTGGCTGATCGACTACATTTGCGTCAAGTGTAAAATTGGGCAAGTCTAATTTTCGAACTGTTCCTATAAAGGAATACTTCACCTCTAATTGTAAACATGGCTAAAAAATCTGTGAGTGCTAATAGGGACAAGTTAGCTTTTTCCTTTTAATACTTACTGGCACCTGCTAACTTTACTAGCAATGTATTAGCAATGCTAGCTGTTTTAGGTGAAGTTCTTTAACATGAGAGAGGGAGAAATTACCGCAGCAGTTGATTGATCTGTCAGTGTAGTGAGGTCTTTCGATATCCTTTACAGATGCTCTCATTCATGTCTGAAGGCTTTTTTCTTGGTTTTTCTCTCTTCGTTTTAGTCAAAGAGTGAATTATCGGTGAAGGATTTTTGATAATATTCAGTGTTGCTGACAGTGAAGCCTTAAATGCACGCAAACACAAACATTTGCTCTCAACGCATAGTCTGTGTTACTGTTATAACAAAATTGGAAAAAAAGGTAAAAAAAAGTTTATGTAGCTGACATTACTACTTTGTAGAGTCTATAGCTCTGTGTGACCTGTCCAGGTGGGCTGGAGAAAGGCAAAGGCTTACCTGGCTCAGGTTTGTCCTACCTGTGGCTAGAGTGTGCACCCTCATTGTGCTCCAAGGCCTTCCTGCATTTTTAAAGAGACAGTATCAGTTTACATTACAAAACACTGCTGCAGATGCTGTACTGAAGTGTAGGCCCTGTTCGCATACGAATCCAGTGTGCTTTCGATGTATTTATAGCATGTATCGAGCTGAACTTAACTTATGCGATCGGTTATGTGGTGGGACTTCCAAAAGGAAAAAAAATAAAAACAACAGCCTTTGTCAACTTGTAGTTCATCTATGGCAAGGTGACATTTTTATTTGTATTTACAATAAATAAAATGACAAATGTTGTGTCAAAGTCCATTTGTTAGTCACTGTGATCATATTAACAGTTCAATCCTGCAAAAAAGTGCATGGTTTTTAAATTATAATATGCTAAGATTTTTCACAGAAAGAGAAAAATAATCATTATTTGTGATCATTATTGATGTTGAATGGTCAAATGAAGACTGGCTGACAACAAACTCTTTTGTACAAGGATTGGCATTGACCGCTTCGGTCAAGATAAAGATCAGTTGCACAGCACAAGTTAACCACAGCCAAAATAAACTGTTCCTGTGTTACACCTACAGGAACAGGGCAAAAGGGCCACTTTGCTATCAGTGCAGTTCCCTTCATGACCTCAAGAGGTCACACACACCCATGAACACAAGAACTATGTATCAGGAGCTTCATGAAATGGGTTTCCATGGCGGAGCAGCTGTACACAAGCCTAAGATCACTATGCGCAATGTCCAGTGGCAGCGTGCTTTACACCACTCCAGCTGACAGTGGACATTGCGCATAGTGATCTCAAGCTTGAAACAGAGGCTTACTCTGAAACAGTAGAAACGTTCTCTGGAATGATGGATCACACTTCACTAACTGGCAATCTGATGGACAAATCTAGGTTTGATGGATGCCAGAACGCCACCTACCAGAACACATAGTGCCAATGTGAAGGTTGGTAGAGGAGGGATAATGGTCTGGGACTGTTTTTGAGGGTGTTGACTTGGCCTCGTAGTTCCAGTGAAAGGTAATCATAATGCTACATCTTACAAAGACATTTCAAACAATTACAGTGGTAGCAGTTTGTCCCAGCATGACTGCCCCTGTGCACAAAGCATGATCCATAGAGACATAGTTTGAGTGTGGTGTGAAGGAACTCCAGTGGCCTGCACAGAGCCCTGTCCTCAACCCTAGTGAGCACCTTTGGGACGATCTGGAATGTCGATTGTGAGCCAGGCCTTCTTGTCCAACATCATTGGCTGCCCTCACAAAGTCTTTTGACTGATTGAGCACACATTCCCACAGACACACTCCAAAATCTTGTAGAAAACCTTTCCAGAAGAGTGGAGGCTGTTATGGCTGCAATAAGGGGGGGGGGCAACTCCATATGAATGGCCATAGCTTTGAAATAGGACATCCAACAAGCTTGAGAGGTGTGACGGTCACGTGTCCACATAATTTTGGCCATATAGTGTATATTCACAAGGTGACCCAAAAAGATTAATCCGATTTCAAAGTGCCATATTTTTACAACCGTGAAGCGCCTAGGAACCAATCACATACCAACTGAAAGACGGGTCACAGAGCTTCTAACTGTCACTGGACGATGGCTCCCCTCAGTCTGCGAGAAGATGGTGATAGAAAGCATTTTGCGTTCTCCACTTTAACAAGAGTGAATCCGTCATTACTGTGCAATGTGATTTTTGTCGGCAGTGAACCTCCAACAGCTCAGAGCATTTGTCTCCGAACGATCTCCGAAATCACATTGAAAGAGCCGTGAGTACAGACATGCTGAATCAAGTATGGGATGAATTTGACTATGGTGTTAATGTTGTCCGTACATCTGGAGGATGTCATATTGAGCACTTGTAAAATTATGTAATAAACTTTATGCCCACTTAAATCATTTACAATTTACTGCATTGCTCTGTAATGATTTACAAGTGAAATAAATCATTTTGAAATTGGGTTAATCTTTTTGAATCATCCTGTATTTTCAGAACATACAGCTACGCCTCAAACTTGAAATAGGTTTCATTTCATTAAGCTCACTAGTGTGTGGTAATTTAAAAATAAAAGGGTCCAGATTTAGCAAGATCTATTACATAAAAAAAGGATCTACAATTCAAATATAGTAACATGGATTTAATCATGCGGGCAACCATTTTTCTATGTAAAAATGGCCAATATACAATACTGTGCAAAAGTCAGAGACCATCCTTCATTTAAATATAGTCCAAATATCCATTAAGTACCAGTCATTCATTTTTCAGGTGATACATCTGAGGAGATTAGATATCATCTGCTTGCATGTGGAAGATTTAAGTCAAAGGGAAAAACTCAAGTTCAAAAAACTACAAGAGAAAAATGGGACTCTAAGAAACGTGCAAGACCTGGTAGACTACCACAACTGTCCCCTTCAGATATACAGTACTTAAAGCTTCTACCTTTGAGAGACAGAAGAAAATCAAACTCCACTCTTGCTTCAGATCTGTTTCTGTCCATCCTTAAAAATGGACATCTGTTACTGAGAAAAGGAAATAGGGAAGAAAGAACAATTACACTGTTAAAACTAAACTTTGGTGGTTTGGAAAAATATCTCCTGCAGATTTCTTTGAAAAACTAAAAGCAGGTATCCTGAAAAGAAGGAAAGCTTTCTGCTTTTGTTCCTGATAATGAAAATGGAATAACTTGTACATAATGGCCTTTTGACTGGTATTAAACGAGCGATGACTTTTGCAAAGTAGTGTGGTTTGATATCAGTGACAAATAAACAAACTAAAAGTGTTGACATATTTTATCTTCATTTTATTAAAAAAAAAAGTAAGGAGTCCACAGTTTGCGTTTTCTTTGTACAGTAAAAAATAATTAAATTAAACTCCCAAATTTCAGAGCAATGACATTTCTGAGAGTGGAGCAAGGGCGGAGAGGACGGACAGAGAGAAAGAGAGAGAGAGAAGAGAGAGAGAAGAGAGCGAGATCAGTGGCATTCTCTCTGTTGGATAAACTCTAATTTCATCTATTCATCTTGGCATGAATAGCAGCTAAACAGACAACACACAAACTTTGATGAAGACACACCTCCACTATCCAGCAAGTGTCATATGGAGTGTGCACACACCCAAACGCACCCCTACACGTCCATAAGCAAACTCACACTCGCGGGGTAGGTTGTACAGGGTATGTGCATTCAGGAGGTTTGTCCCATGCGGGCAGAATGGCTAGGCATTTCAAAAGTGGCACGACTTATTAAAAAAACAAAAACAAACAAAAAAAAAACAAAAACAAACAAACAAAAAAAACCCCACCACCACCACTAGCCAACAGGACGCACCACTAAGCCTTGTCCTCCAAACACTGATTCTTACTCTATTCAATCTTATAAACTCACTGTGGATGTAAAGGAACGGTTCCCCCATTTTGACGGGTATTAACAAAAATAATCTATGAATTGTAGCAGTCTCAAGGAGCAATAAAAACCCCAAAAACACTGGAATAAATAACAGAATGCAAAACCAAACTTGACAAAGAAGATATGCATGATGTTTGGATAATTAATAATTTTAACAATAACAAAAACAATGATAATCAATAACATTTGTAACACTCCACACTGTAAAACTAGTAACAGAGACTGGTTCATGGAGCAAAAATATATATATATATGTATATATAGAAAATAAAGCCCATTGCATTCAATGATTCGGTCTTTTAAATTTAACAGTTTTAAAATCTTAAAAATATATCTTAAAAAAGGTAAATACTCCCCTAGACCCAGCCCCAAAAATATTACCTGCATCATATTCTCTGAGTCTGAGAAATAATCCTTTCTCTGTACACAATTTGGGGGGAAAAAAAAGCCATAATTTAGCAATCACCTCTTATACTCGTTTATGTTGATTAATTGCTGTATCTCCCATAGGAAGGTCAGAGTTCAATGTGTTCATACTGACAAAACATTAAATAATTCATCACTGCAATATAAAAAAGGCTAACACTGTCTCTGGCAAGTTTCCATGTGTTCCATAACTACATAATGTCTAATGTCATATTCACACCAAGATCCTGTCCACTAGGGGACAGCATGTCGTTTGCTCCTGTCGCGTGGAGTCCTGCCATGCCGCTCAGTTGTGGCAGCATAGAGTTCTGATCTGTACCGAATCCTCCAGGGTCCATAGCATTCTGCTGTTGCGGAGGTGGTGGGGGTGGAGGAGGCGGAGCCATGCCTGGCAAGTGTTGCTGGAGGTGGCTGGGGTGTGGTGACCCTGTCTGGGTCTGGGGGGAGATGTGGTGGGGCGACGGCTGGGGCTGCTGGGTGCGTGGGGACGGGCTGGAGTGTGGCGGCTGCGACTGCGGACGTGGCGATGGCTGAGGTGAACGCACCTGGTTGCTAAGGGAGGTGGGGAGTTGCTGTTGGCCCTGCAGATGTGGTGACTGGGACATCTGCTGCTGCTGCGGGCTCATGGGATTGTTCTGTTGTGCAGGCGAAGCTCCACCCAGGTGCTGCTGCTGCTGCTGAAGCAGTCGCTGGTGCAAGGCTTGCTGCAATAGCGCAGGAGATGAGGGGGGCTGAGGCCTTCCCTGCGTGGGTTGGGCCTGTGGACCACCTGCACCAGAGCCTCCATCAGGCCCCTGTAGTCCTGCATTCTGCTGCTGCTGCATCTGCAAGTGGTGTTGGTGCTGCAGTCTCTGCTGCAAGGCTGCTGCAGCCTGTTGCTGTGTAGGGTTGCCTGGGTAACCCTGTTGCTGGGGCTGCTGCTGCCCAGGTTGTGCCCCTGGTGGCGCTTGGCCCCCTGGAGGTACCTGCATGTTTCCTTGCTGACCCATATAGCCTTGCTGTTGTTGGAATGCAGCATGATTTCCCATCTGCTGCTGTTGCTGCTGGAGCTGGAGTTGCTGTCTTCTCATTAGCAGCTCTCTGAACTGTGGATTGTTGTGAATGTTGGCCATGTTGGGAGGTGCCTGCCCTGGCATTCCTTGCTGTTGCTGCTGCTGCAATGCAGCAACTTGCTGTTGCTGTAGCATAGGCCTTTGCTGCTGTTGCATTTGCTGTTGCTGCTGCTGCTGGAGTTGAGCCAGTTGAGCTTGCATGTTCATACTCTGTCCCATATGCATGCCTGGCTGAGGCCCACCTGCACTGACTCCAACTGGCTGCCCACTCATGGCCCCTGGCACTCCTTGAGGCCCAGGTGGGCCACCGGGCCCACCTTTATACTTGTGTACTCGTTGCTTTATAAACGCAGCCATCAGCTGTGGGTTGGAGCGCAGAATGTGGAGGACCTGCTGTTGCTGCTGTGGTGAACTTGGCGACCGCAGAGTTCGCAAGAGGTCCTGTAAGGCTCCTTGAGGGAGACTCCCACCTGCAGGTCCACCTGCAGCACCGCCCTGCAGGCCTGCCTGCACCATACTCATCAAGGCATTGCGACTGGGGATTTGCTGTTGCTGCTGCTGCTGTTGTTGTGACTGCTGCATTTGCTGTTGCATTGTAACCATCCCAGGCTGACCCATGATTGGGGGTCTCTGTTGAGGTGGAATCCCCTGTCCTGTCCATTGCTGCTGAGGAGGCTGAAGCTGAGCATTGGCCCTTTGTTGCAGCTGCACCTGTGGAGGAAGCTGGCCCTGCATGTTAGCTTGGGGTGCAGCCTGCTGTTGCATGGGGCCTGTTCCCACCATCATTCCCTGAGGTCCCTGCTGCTGCTGCTGCTGCTGCTGCTGCTGCTCAATTTGGGCCCTGGCCACAGAAGCTTGTGCCTGTGGAGGTAGCCCTGGCCCACCTACCATGCCAACCCCAGCATGAGTCATCCCCATCTGCCCCTGGGGTTGTTGGTGGTGGGGATGTGGTGGAATCATGCCGGCCTGGGTGGCTTGTCTTTGCAGGAGCTGAACTTTCGCCATCTTCCTTTGGGCATCTGCCACTTGCTGGATTTTCATTGCAATTTCCACAGCGGCAGGAGGAGGACCTGAGGGCTGCTGCTGCTGCGTTTGTGGGGGAACTGTCACTGCTCCTGGGTTGCCAGGTTGTTGTGGAGGGGTTGTAGGACCAAGGCCTGGTTTGCCCTGGGACTGTGAGTGAGGAGAAGAGCCTGGAGGTCGAGGGCCATACTGAGGCAAGTTACTGGGATGTGACAACTGTCCTGGCTGTTGCTGGGCAACCATCTGTGGCTGTGGCGAGGTCATCATTCCCTGAGCACCAGGCATTTGTTGAAACTGTTGATGGACAGGGTGCTGGGGAGGCATGTTACTCTGTTGTTGCTGTTGTTGCTGAGGGTTTGTGCCCGGAACAGCTCCTATTCCAGGTGGGGGGAGGGGCGTAAGACTTTGTTGCGTGGGCGTCTGAGGCGTGGTAGGTTGGGTACCCATTGATGTTGGTGTGCTACGGCCTGTAGCACCATTATTATCTGGTGATGGAAGACCTCCAGGTGGGCCACCTCCACAAGGAGGCTGCCCAGCCCTCTGCATGGTGGCCATGCGCCTGCGCAGCATCTGCGCTTGTTGCAGCCTGTGTTGCAGCTGCTGCTGACGGAGCTTGTGCTTTATGTTGAGACAGAAGGGTACAGGGCATTTGTTCTCCTGGCAGTGCTTGGCATGGTAGCAACACAAGGCAATGAGCTGCTTGCAGATAGGACAGCCACCATTCGTCTTGCGCTTGCAACCCTTCGTGTGCTGCACCACTCGCTTCATCTTCTGGCAGGATGGCAGAGAGCAGTTGGCATTGCGACACTGGCAGGCGTGTACCAGGGACTGGATACAGCGCTGGATGCTGAGACGACGTGAGTCGCCAGGGTTCTGAGTGGCTGCTGCAGCCTGGTTGTTGCTCTCATCATCCAAACCCAAACCAAGCTTCTCCATCTTGTGCTCATGACCCTTAGTGTTGTAGCAAGTGATGCAGAGGTCATAGTCCTGCAAAGAGCAATAAAGAAAGAAATGTTATTGAGTATTTCCAGAAAGTTCTACCTTTGTGATGTCCTCTTCTTCCTTTTTTTAATCTACTTGCATTACATCCAAACTTTCTATAGGACCTCTATAAAAACAATCTACTAACAGCTACCTAGCAAGCAGCTAATAGACCCAATCTACTTTTATAGTTACGAATGAGTTAAGTACAACGCCTACAAATACAGCACATAAGACTGCACTCAGCTGTGTTCTCACCTCACAGACAGTGCAGTGGAAGCGTGTCTCCACATGGTGTTTGCATTCATTGCAGGTGTAGACGAAGCGATCTTGGCTCTGGTTGTGCAGTTCCACCAGCATACACATGGAGCTCCACTTGGCTCTTCGCAGAGAGCTGAACTCCAGGTGCTTGTCACGTGCTAGTGTCAGGAAGGCATCGCGTCCATCCATCAGGTCACAGGCCATCAAGGGATCCGGATCCACAATAGGAGGTAGGGAGTTGGCAGCAGGGCCAGCAATGAGACGGATGACAAAAAAGACCTGCAAAGCAGAAAGAAAGAGGTGGTAAGTCAGAAGATCCAACTTCTAAGGATTGAATGCATGAAAGGCTCAGAGGACAGAGGAGTGCAATTTACCTCTTTGTGTTTTTCCATGGTAGCATACAGTTTCTGAGACAAGTCGTTGGAGACACTGGGCATTCCTGGTTTCTTCTTATTGGCTCGACTTAAGCTGCTCTTGTTCTTGCTCGTTTTCTTGTTGTTCTTTTTCTTGGCATTTTTGCTATCACCTGTGGTGGCCTAAAGAGTCACAAACATCAAACACTTACAGTGGGATTGCAACAGATACCTATTAAAATGTCAAATTCTAGACTGAACATCAAATTCAAAATTTGCATGAAGGAAGCAAGGCGTAAGTTCTGTGACCCGCTCTCCATTTCACCATGTAAGGTCAAATCTTTTGACAAGACAAAATTAGGCATACAGGCTAAGTAAGCAAATCCTGCATAATATGTAGGGCTCCTAAGTGAACACTTACATCAACACTTTCGCTGGAGGTGCTATTCTCTTCTCTCTTCCTCTCCTCTTCTTCCTGCTCCAGCTCTTTGATGCTCTCTTCCAGCACGTTAGGCCAGAAATCACCCTCAAAATAAGGCAGTTCCTTTGCACTAGTCAAACGATCTTCAGTGGCTTGCTTAAAAATGTCCTAGGAGAGGAAAGGCAAAGAAAATGGGCCAGGGGTTGAAATCAGATGTGGAGCAGAGCTTTACATAAACATAGCAAAAAAAGAAAAAAAAATGCATGAACAGCTATAGGGAACAAGGGGAGGTTCCAAGGTAGAAAAATTGGGGCAAATGTTCAGCAGGGACTTTGGACAGTCTCCTTCATAGCTTAGTAATACACTACACCAGTGATCTACCTTGTAGTCATGCACAATTCGCTCAGCCACAGCCTTATCCAGCATCTTCTTGTACCACTCCTGCAGACGTTTGGGTTTTGGTATCTTCTGCTCCGGGGGATGACAGTGGAAGATGTAATCATCACCTTCACTGGGTGGGCATGCCCAGATATGTCCAGTGGTGAACCCCAGTTTTTTAACATACTCAAGGTAACCTATGAGGATCTCGTGATACACGCCTGTCCTCAGTTGACGCGGCTGGAAAAAGTGCACACTGTCCAGATAGGATATATACACACGTCTGCATGAAAAGCAAAGAGAAAGGAGGGTGAGTAAATGTGTTCTTTCTAACCCCATTAAGCATATTACAACAAAGTTTTAATTTCCAAAGAACAGTATCACCTAGACATCCCAAAATTTAAGGAACATCCATAAAAAAGATGGATGACACATGGTCTACATCCTATTTGTAAGAAGCCTAAAATGAGTGTATGTGTACTAGGGAGAATGTGATGAGTGAGTGTTTGTTTGCAGGTAGATTTTCTGTCACCTTTGATTAGGTGGAGGGCAATCTGAGCCATATTCTTGCACGTGCATTCCAAAAAAGCACACATCAGCTCCATCAATGTCCTCGAATGCAAACAGTGCTTTTGTTCGATATGGGAACGCCTCAGCCATTTCACCACTGTCCACAAACCTGCATGTGCACACATATACACATACACACACACACAGAGTTTTACTCATATTTCAACAGCAGCAACAATGTATGTTACTACTTGGGCTATCGAATATACTCTTTTTTGAATATTTTATTGAATATTCATATATTCTATAAGGGTACAAAACGAAACGTTCAACATGAACAACTGAATGGAGTCTTATTTTTACGCTGCTCAAAACCACTTCATGTCAGAGCACACACTAAACCATGTCTGCTTTTTCACCCACTGCAGTCTGTTTCTTTCAGCTCTGGTAAGCTAGTTAGCCAGCCCATGCTTAATTATTTTATGCAATTAAAGCAACCAAGAAGATGCTAACAAAGCTAGCAACCCAAAGCTGCAGAAAAGTTATTCAGACTGCACCTGGAGTCAGAACCGGTTTTATCACCTCATATCGCGAGATTCTCGCAAGCTGCACCATATCGCTCCACTGCCTGTGTGTTACAGGTAACAAATTAGCATTTGGCTTAATACCGCCCGCTGCATGGGTGTGGGTTATTCATATGGCTTTCTCCTTTCCGAACATTTTAATTAGATTTTCCAATTATTATTGAACATTTGTTGCAACTCCAGTTACTACACATGCAATTACTGCAAATACTGTAACACTGAATGAATGTTTGGACAAAGATCTACATTTTGATCTATTCAAAATGTCATTCAGCATGAAAGAGGAACTTAAGCTTGGTACAACACTGAAAATGGCACACATGCAAAGCAGAGTTCATTGTTAAAAAATAGATAGCCTTATGTCTTTGCATTAGGCTAATGTATGATCAAATTCCTAACAGGAAAGCAGGATCGCACCTGGACTTCATGCCTGGCTTCACCTCCACCATTTTGTCTGAGACGTGCACCACCCGGATGGTGACATCGCCACTTTCCGGATGGTTCTGCCGCTTCAGGAACTCATTCACCCGTGTCTCCAGGAAGTTACCCAGTTTCGTCTGAGGAAGCCCTGAGAGCGAGAGAGGAAGAAAAAGTGGATAACGTTTGCTGTTAGCACGGTGACAGCAACATGGCTGTGTAGAGTCTGAGGGTATCAACACAAAAGTCATTTACCATCCTGAACTTCAAAAATATCAGGGATACTTCCACAAATCAGAGTATGTGGACAATTATCAGCATTCAGCTTACTTACGCCAGTGAGCATTCAGATTAAGCAAAAAGGAGACTATTCCAGCATGTGGTAGCAGTCACTAGGTTGTAGTAACTGCTAGTTAGTTATAACTACATTTCCATGGTCTAACACAATGCTCAATGAAAATGTTTCAGATTTACATAGGTTATTACAAATGGCTGCATCTACCCCTGTAAAGACCAATTATTTTGTGTTCAAATGTTTTGTATCTTCAACTGGCAAAAGAAAGGGACTCCAAAAGCTCTTTATTAAACCATAAAACTATGTTAAGTCTTCTCTTTTAACCTTCGCCCTTTTTGGCTCTCCTCCCTCTTAAGCCAGAAGAAAATGAAAAACCATCCACTTACTTTTGGCTGTGTATTTATTCTCCTTTCTCGTCTTTTTGGATATCTTCAGACAGCCGTCGCACACAAAGCTGAACAGAGATGGAAGGAGGAGGTGAAAAAAATCTCTTAGCATACTGGCCTCACAGCTAGCTGTTGTTTATTGCTGATTTGTTAAATTCTCTTTGGAAAATTGGAGGCTCAAAAGTCAGACAAAATCCAGCTCACCCCAATGGCCATATTGTCTCGTTGTGCAGAACACAGATTTGATGCATTTTACGGCCACATTCGGTACATTCCACAAATCTGCAGGAGAGAGGGGAAATATGTCAATAGGAGAAAATGAATGAATAGAGAATGAATAAAGAAATGAAAGAACTGATTAGCAAAAGAAAAAAATGAATGTATATTTTAAAATCAATTCCATTAAATATGTCACAAATTTCAGCTGTTAATTCCTTAAACAGTCAATCTGCAAGATCAGGCTGTTATTTAACGGAGCAATAAGTGAACATACAGCTCAGGGTCGAGTGTATCATTCCTCTTCTTCTGAAACTGGTTTTTGTTGATGGATCTGTAAAAAACCAAAGGGTAGAGGGAGGTTCATGGAATGATGTGATGAAGTTTGTTAACTGTGTTCAACCTATTCCTTAACAACAATTTAACTACCTATGTACCACTACTTTATACAGGTCAACACCTTGACAGGCATCCATCATGTACCTTGTTCTCAGAACCACTAATTTAGCCCTGTAGAAAATAAGTTATTTGATTTTTTAACAGGTATTTCTTGTATTTTCTATTATTATACATTTTAATTTGCCTGATCATCTATTGGCTTGTTATTTTGTCACTACTTTTTTGCCAAGTTTAGAACAAGAATCAAGTCCTACATGTCTTAATATAATTAAATACATAGTCATAAAATAAACAAAATAAGGCTGTCACTATTGATCAGATTAGTAATTGAGTGATTACTCAAGTACTCTAACAAGAAAGAGTTAACAAAAGATGAAGCAATAAAAAAAGTGAATGGAACAAATCATGCATAGCTTTTCAAAGTTATCAAAATACTTTACTGAAAAGCCTTTAAGAATACTTCAATAAATTACAAAATGTAACCAAAAAAAAAAAACAAAAACAAAAAAAACTGTTGATTCAATGATGTACATTTTAACTGATTCAAGCAACAACAGCTCTGACAAAAACAAATAAAACAAAATCACAGATAAAACAACAGCAGTGATGCATTACTTACGTTTGTGGCTGTGTTGGATCGTCGCCCAGGGATACGTTCTCCCCCTGGATTTCGTTGAAACACTTCTCACAGAAGTGGTACCTGTTAGCAAGAAGCCCATATTTGGGTGAACTACACCGTTCGCCAAGAGCACAGCCAATCACAGAGAAGGCACGCGGAGGGAGTCACCAATCAGGGCAGGGCAGGCCGGGGAAGGCAGCGCGCAGGGTCGTCGCCGGATGCAGCCAATCATGAAGCAGCGTTTTTGTGTGGGCAGATTGATTTGATTGGTTGCGTGTAAATTTCGGAGAAGGATGATTGGTCGCACCAAAGCAGGCCAATGCAGACATCACAAGCGTTAAAGAAGGAGGGAGAGAAAAGGGGGAAGGGGGAGAAGGGGGAGGGGGAGGGTAGAATGAACAATTTAAAAAAGTGTGAAAAACAAAAATGTTACGGATGAGAAGAAGAATGGAGGATGGAAAGGTGGAGGGGTGGAACAGAGAGAGGTGGAGAAAATGAATCAACACGTTTCAAGACAAAATAACCATCTAGCTGGAAGCCAAGCAAAGCACAGACACCCTCCCATCCACCAGCCCCTAAAGGCACTCGCATACTTCCTCACACACACCAATGGTTGGAGCTAAATTCATGAATTCAGGAAATCCCTGAGCCTGACTACATTAACCCTTAGAAGTTGCAGTTATCGTCAGTGATAACAGTACTCTGTAAATTTATATCAATTGTCTCACTCACTGTGTTCAAAACTATGACCTACAACTTTTATTAACGCAAATATATTGTGGATAAGTCTGGGGCCATACGAAGAACAATAACATGATCATGGCACTCCACTGCTTTAAAACCATGATGCTTGCCTAAACCGAAAAATGGATTGGCCCCTACCTACTTGATAGCAACGTTCAATAGTATGGCTTGGCCCGACTCGCCATCGTTTAAGACACATGAAAGATAAGCATCAAGTTTCTTCTCTGTCCTGGAACCCAAGTGGTGGAACCAACTTCGAATGCTGTCCAAACAGCAAAAGTCTAAAAGTCTCTTAACATCTTCAAATGTCAACTGAAGACCCAGCTCTTTGTAAAGCCTTTAAGAGACATTAATCTACCACTTACTGAAATGTCTTGTACTGAACTTGTGTCATGCCTTAATTCTGTATTTTGTATCTATTTCTAGGTTGTTTCTGGCAGTGTCTTAGCTCAAGGGTAAGTACTATGTTTAGTAAACTAATAGTTTATAGCCTAGAACTACTACTAAATTCTGACCACTGCCCCCAAGGCTGCTGCTTTTGTGATTAAAAGTGAACTAAATTCTCTTTTCTGCCTACCCATACTCTGACTAGCATTTTAGACTGAAGTAAAAATTAAAAGTGGGAACTAATTCTAGGGTAAGCATTGAGCAAAAATGCCTGCTGCACATCTGGCGTGTTTTGTCATCTGTCATCAATACCCGGCCCTAAACCGTACCCCATCGAAACAAGTGGAGATGTTCTGTAAAGTGTAGATTCTAAACTTTCAATCAATACCATGTGCATTTGTATGTAGAAGAGATGTTGTAATATGATTTGAATTGGATTTTTGTTTCGTGTACAGATCTGTTTTGTGCAATGAAAAAAAAAAAAGATCCATTACATTGTTATAGACTGCCAATACAAAATGTAAATCAAGTGGAAATCAAATGTAATGAGCTATGTAATCAAAAATATACACTTAAACAGTATAGGAAAGTATTTTTGACTTCATTTGACTTCTAAGGGTTAATTATTTAAAATCAGTAATTTAGAATAAAACTGCCAATTTTGCATTCAATTTTAACTCACTGACTGAAGTGAAATTTCATTTAACAATCTGAAATGAAATTTAACCCAACCCTGACAAGTGAACACGAGTATGATACATGAACGTGAACACATGCATATGCTCACTCACTCACGCACGCGCACACACGCACACTCGTACAGGGCGGAGAGAAGGACAACAGAGGCCAAAAGAAACAGGTGGATACGGAGGAACGAGTATTGGTGCAACTGAGACCCATCATCCTATCAGACCATTTCAAAGAGATCCAGCCTTATGCCTTTCATTTACGCTCAATCAGCTCCAAAAAAGCATATCAAATGCACACAATGCACAGGAAATCTCCAAAATGCACAAAATGCATAGCTTAGAGTGCTTTCAATGAGAATTATGCACTGTTGTTTCCAAACAGGACTTATGTGATAAAGCACTATGGGTAGTGGCAGAGTTCAACACAGATGTACAGGACCACAGACTGGTCATTTACTGTGGTAATCTGCTGGTAGACTGAGGATTCTCTTTGAAAATGTCCGCGTTGTAAGTCAAATGGTAAAGCAGGAGTGAGTGGTGGTCAATAAAAACCACTGAAAATTCCCCCCATCAAACAAATATCCACCTGTGATTGAACAATGCTTTACTTCATGAGATGTGTGCTCAGGACAAAATCGCTCAAGAACATTTGAAATAACTGATATTGGAAAAATGTAAACAAAAGCGTGCTGATCTATAATGGTGCAAGTGGGTATGTGGCTCTACTGAATATAAGCTGTTTTACTTTCATGTTTTGGTTGTATTGAGTGCGGGGCACATTGGTTGCAATAAAAAATATAATAAATGAAGCTGCAAAGCTATACTTGTGTGTGTGTGTGTGTGTGTGTGTGTGTGTGAGACTGTGTGTGAGTGTACGTGTAAGGCTGACCTGTTTTGGTAGCTGAAGTAGGCAGCGTCTCGTGGGATAGTGCATAGTTGTTTCCCATAGCAGCACAGAGTTTGAGGAGAAAACTCCAACTGGGAGGCAAATAGAGAAAGAGAGAGGAAGGGAGAGAGAATTTTGTCTTGATTAATTACATGAATCATTCATACCTAATGCTGTAAAGTACTTAAATTCCTGCCATAAAATGACTGCAATAAATTAACAAACTTACCACGCTAAATACTGTATTATTTATTAATTGACATTTGGTTCTATTAGATACAAGCAATCATTCTTTAAATGTTGTTTATTATTCATGTCATAGACCTTTTTTGTCATGCACTGTTATTAAAGATTAAAAGAAGTATAATCATGACAAAAACACTGATAGCTCCAGTGCAGAACATGGATGTTTGTATAAGTTTTTATTTTTTAATTACTTGCCAAAAAACGCTATGGAAGCAGGACAGAATGAGCTGGAATTCACTAAAATAACTACTAAAATATAAATTTAAATACTGTTATTTAAATTCGTAGAGCAGAATAAAGGGGACTGTTTCAGTGATTAATTCTGTAAAAGCCTTATGTTGTTCTGTTGACAAGTATTATAAGAATGCAATACAAGTCTAAAATTGTTTTATTTGAGTAGTGGTGGTTGGGTAGGTTACTACACCTTTTCAGCATATTTGGTGCTTATGCAAGGGTGGGCAATATGGCAATTTTGTCACAATACGATCTTCTATCAGGGCTCTAGGTACTTATGGAACATTATTCAACATGTTTCATTTCAAACAGAGCACACTTAGTCCTACTTAACTGAATTCAGTGCAGTGCTGTATCTGAAACGGTGAATAAAACGTATTGAAGACATCTTAGTGTTGTGATATGTTTTTGCCATTGCCCCCACTATGAGTCTGTCTTGATAAATTATATGAATCACTCATACCTTATGCTATAAAGTACAAATAGCTTACATACAGTTCTATTAATTCTAAGTATTTTAATGCTATGTTATGTCCAAGAATATTCTAATGAAGAAGATAAAATCCTAACTAGAACACTGATGTGTCTGGTGCAGAACGATGCATATAGTGACTGAGAAAATGTCTTGAAGTATCGTGATGTTATATTTTTGCAATATCGCCAAACCCATACATGCACACTCACCTTCCTTCCGCAGCAATAGCCAAGAGTCTGCATGACTGGGTCGATCTCCTGCTCAAACACTTCGGCCAGTTTTGAGCAATACTTATACACACGCGAGGTCTTCCTGTTGTAGAGCCAGGCGTTGTTGAACATGAGCCAGACATCGTCTACATACTGCCACGGCTCCTGGTACTGCCCCGTGTCCAGCTTCCGCTTTATGGTGGAAAGATCCATGGGGTTCTTCACAATGTCAAAATAGTCCTGGAGGAGCATGAAGGACGTGAAGGCAACAGGAGAGGCAATGATTGAGACGGACGAATGGAAGGAAAGGGGGCCGTCGTCACCAGGCAGTACAGCATTCCAGGATTGAGGAAGAGGCAGAGTTGTAGGTCATAGACAAGGATGTCACCATTTTCGTCGTAGCAAAGACGTTCAAGTGCAGCAGAGAAAGCAGACATCCAGCAGTGAGACCATGGTGGAGGTGAAAGCCGGGTCAGAGGGAGAGAAGAGGGGGCAATGTTGAGGGCTGTGGAAGAGTTCATGTGCACAAACAGAGAAACGTAACAGATTCCTGCTCCCTCATATCACCCTGCACCCTCACACACACACACACACACACACACACACACACACAAACACACAGAGATACTTCCATACATGCATGTGATCTAATACAATCACATGGAGGACTGTAGGCTATGAGAATGAGAGGAGCCGATGCTGCAAATGGCTAGCAAAGGACTACATCAAGGGACTTCAGATGATTATTAGTGAGCTGTAGACTTTATTGAGCTTTGGTGATACTTGCCAGACAGTAAGTGAAGACTTGGAACTAGTCGCAATGGCTCAAAATTAGGCGAAGTATAATTTAAGTTAAATTTTACGCATTAAACAAAACAGGTTGCATCACATTATAGTGTAAGTTAAGCTTATATTCCACTAACACTAAACAGCTGTAAGCTGCCACCTGTTTGATTC